CTCAACCCAGGTGTGTCAAGTTGACACTAAAGCTATCCAGCACAGTCATCTTGCCATCCATGTACAGTCACTAAAAATGTATCTCAAGAACTTGATCTGATGGTGAAAACTGGTTCTTGAACATGAGTTCAAATTAAACAATTCTCTCAGTGTCTCAGTGTAAGTAAGAGTTGAAATTTCTGGAGTGTTTCTCTATACTCCTTCCCCTCAGGCAGGACATCTGTTTAAAGATTTCAGAGAAAGAGATGACTCAGCGGTTAAGAGCACTGACTGCTCTTATAGAGGACCCAGGTTCAACTCCCAGCACCCACATGGTGGCTACAAACCATCCTTAACTCCAGTTCCAGGGAAATCTGAAGTCCTCTTCTGACCTCCACAGCATTGCCTGACACGGGTGCACTCAGATGCATTCAAGGCAATACACTCATACATATAAAATAAAAATAATAATTTTTTTTTTAAAGTTACCTTTCTGGCTGGAGAGATGACTCAGCAGTTAAGAGCTCTGAATGCGGGAGCTAGAGAGATGGTTCAGCAGTTAAGAACACTGGCTGTTCTTGCAGAAGACCTGGCTTCAAATCCCAGTACCCACTTGGCAGCTAATTGTCCGTAACTGCAGTTCCAGGGGATCCGACAGCCTCTCTGTACTCCGCAGGCATTGCACAACATGGGTACACTTACCTACATGCATACCCATAAAATAATTAAAAAAAAATTTTTTTTAAAGCTTTGAATGCTTTTGCAGAGGATCAGGATTTGTTTCCCAGCACCACATGGTGGCTAACAACCATCTGTAACTCCAATTCCAGGAGATCCAACACCCTCTTTTGACTTCTGCAGGCATTGTATATACTTGGTGCACTTACATACATGCAGGTAAAACACCCATACAAATAAACCCCTCCTTCCCAAAAAAGCCAAAGTTACCTCTGAGTGTAGAATTTTTTCTGAAATATTTATATTTCACTTGTAATATCAGCAACCATTATAATCTCAATTTTCTACTTGATAAGTATTTTTCAATTTGAATTCTACACTAGAAAATTAGTAAGAAGTTACATGACTAACTCTAGCTTAATACTGACAATATAATAGTTTTCATGGCTATTTTCTTTTTATGAAAATAGGGAAATAACATATTTTCCGTTTGGGTGGGTGTGCATGTATATGTGTGTATTTGCTGAGATAGCTACTTTTGTAGCTTACTTAGGTCAGTCTGAAACTTTTGGTCATCCTGTCTTAGCCTCCTGAGTGCTGGGATTGCAGGTATATACCACCATGCCCAGCTCAGCTTATATTTTATTAGATTTTCTACCTTTGACAAATCTCCCTTCATATTGGATGGAAACAGTGTATACTCATCAGGACTGTCTTTTTAAGCCTTTAAAATTATACATTTAACCTTTTAAATCACTTGTTAAATTATGAATTAAAGTGAAATGTCATTTAAGAAATACTTGAAAATTTTTTTATGACGATTAAAATATTGTGTGCATGCAAATGCCATGAGGACAACTCGTAGGAGTCAGTTCTCTCCTTCCACCACAGGGGTTCTAGGGATTGAACTCAGGTGTCAGATTTGGCTGCAGATGCCTTTACACACTGAGCCATGGAAAATATTTAATGTTTAAGAATCTGTAATGCAGTGGCAGTTACTGTGTTGATGGAATCGTGTAGTTCTTTTACATCAATGGAATTAGGTATAAATGGGCCATCTAATAATGATTTACTATTCAACTATATTAATCTTTTTGCCTTCCGTTTCTACAGAGGCAGTTGGTGTGACCAGTCAGCGACCAGTGTTTTGTCCTTTCCATAAAAAGGAGCAGTTGAAGCTTTACTGTGAGACATGTGACAAACTGACCTGTCGAGATTGCCAACTTCTAGAACACAAAGAACATAGGTACCAGCATCTTTCACTGTGTGCACAGATCTGTAGTGCACGTTTATGTGGCTTACAGAATGACTGTTACTTCATTTGAATGAATGGCAGTTTGCATATGTGTCATGTTTAGCCTGTACCATGCTAGCTCAAACTGGGGTTTCTCAGTTTCCGTATTGTTTATATTTTGGGCTTCACAGTTTTTTGGAGGAATACCATGCATTGGTTAGCAGCATCTTGACGCCCTACCTCCCCCGATAATGATAGCTAAAAAATGATTTACACATATCCATTGACGTAATATGCTGTTTTGAAATTCATGGTATGAGTTGCTAGTATCACGAAGGTAGACTTTTTTTAAATTTATGTTTGTTTTATTTGTGTGAGTGTTTTGCCTACGTGTGTAAGCGTACCCATGTTGAGACTTTTTAAAAATTCACACTTCAGTCTTTGCTCTCTGCCCTCTGTGCCCTGCCCCCAGACCCCTTCCCCCCGACCCCTGTCCTCTCTGCCCCCTCCTTTCTACCCTCTGCCCTCCCTGCTTCCCCTCCCCTTTCCCCTTCTCTCTTGTCCTCTTATTCTCTTTCTTACCCTCTTGCTCTCTCTCAGATCTTGCTCACTTGCTCTTACAAGGCAGCCCTTTCTGATAGACAAGCTGATTTTGAATTCATAGAGATCTGCCTGCCTCTTGAGTTCTGGGATTGAATGTGCCATCAACAGCCACTTTTCTCCTTTTTTATAATTAATTAATTGATTTTTTTGATGTATGAGTATTTTGCCTGCATGTAAATTTACCTATGTTGTGCAGTGTCCAAGGAGACCAGGAGAATGTGTCAGATCCTCTAGAACTATAGTTATAGACAGTTGTTAGCTGCCATATGGGTGCTGGGAACTAAACCTGGGTCCTCTTGGTTCTGCTCTTAACTGCTGAGCCATCATTTCTCGAGCCCCATCTTTCTCTTTAAAAAAAAGTGTGTGTGTGTGTGTGTGTGTGTGTGTGTGTATGTATTCAGCTTACTTATTAGTAAGGTATGTATGAGTACCTGTTTGTCACAACTTCAGGGAGTCAGTTCTCTCCTACTGGGTTCCAGGGATCAAACTCGGGTTGTAAGACTTGAACACCAAGTGCTTTTACCTGTTGAGCATCTTCACTGGCTCAGACTACTTGAGATATTATAAAATCCTATCATCAAATAGTCATTTAATTGTGCTCCTATGATTCTAATTTTTATTCCTTTATGTATCTCCTATTATTTTTCATCTACTTAAAGTGTACTTTACTGAGAATTTACCAGAGATAGAGTCACCAGTCTATTTTATCTGATTATCTTTCACCTTCATTTAAGAATGTGAGAGATGGCTCAGCAGTAAAGAGCACTGACTGCTCTTGCAGAGGACCCAGGTTCAATTCTCAGCACCCACATGGTGGCTAACAGCTGTCCATAATTCTAGTTCCAGGGGATTCGATGCCCTTTTGACCTCCACAGGCATTGCACGACATGAGCACACTTACATACATGCAGCCAAAACACTCATACACATAAAATAAAAATAAATAAATCAAAGAAATTAATGTTTTTAATGTTATTGCTGTTGTATCTGGGAAAAAGAACAAAGTGTTAACATTTGTTGTATTTTTCTGTTTGCAGGTCTCACCCTGCCTTCCCTGTGTGTCTTTGTATGCAGCTTTCTGTAAATATCTAAAATAATTTAAAAATAATAAAAAGGATGTGTTCCTTAGGTACAGAATTCTAGGTTTGCATTTGTTCTTTTTGCATTTCAAAAATATTACTTTCTAATTATCATGCTTGAGGATTATAGGACTTCTTGAATATGAGCTAAGTATCTTTTGTAAGTATTTGCAGGGCAAGGAGATGGTTCAGTGGGTAAAGGCACTGGTTGTACAGTCCTGCAACTTGAATTTGATACTTGGATCCCACATAAAGGTGGAAGGAGAAAACGAACTCCACAGAATAACATGCGACCTGTGTACACATGATATGGCACACAGAAGCACACACAGGGCACATATGCAACAATAGATTGGAAAATTATAGCCACTGAAAGAACAGAAAAAAATATTTACCATGACAGTGGGGGAGGAAATATGGAAAAATTAACTAGCTGGAACTAGGCCAGAAAAGTGAAATTAAGACAGACACGACAAAGACAAACCCAAATGCAGTAAAATAAGATGCTTGGTTGATTTAGAAACACATTCACAGTTATAATAAATGTAAATGAAAAAAATATTGCAAATTACAGGATAGTGCTTCAGGCTATATCAAAGGGAACCCTTATATGATCAAAAGATTTAACCTAAGCGATTTAACAGTTCTTAATTTATATCAGTCATAAACTTAATGCCCCAAAAAAGTAAGACTTCAAACTAATAAACACATAGTGAGGAATTTTGGTACAGTTGACAAAACAGACTAAAAAATGGGGCTGGAGAGATGGCTCAGAGGTTAAGAACACTGGTTGTTCTTGCAGAAGACCCGGGTTCGAATCCCAGCACCCACATGGCAGCTAACAGTTGTCCATAACTCCAGTCCCAGGGGATCCAACAGCCTCTTCTGACGTCCACGGGCATTGCATGACACAGGTACACTTACCTACATGCAGGCAATACATGCATACACATAAAATAAAAATAAATAAAATTTTTTAAAAATCAGCAGAGATGTATATGTTAGTGTTGTAAGTTTGCTTTCCATTTATAAGACTTTAAAGTACCTGGCAGTATATACAAAATTGCAACCTAAGAGGAGAATGTGTGTGGGAGTTTTGTTTTGTTTTAAAAAAGGCAGTGTCATATAGCTCAGGCTGGTCTTAAAGTCACTGAGTAGTAGAGGCTGGCCTTGAACTCCTGCCTCTGCCCCCCAAGTGATCAGATTACAGTATGTACCACTGATAAGTTTATGTGTTGCTGGGGATAGAACACAGGGTCTCATGCATGCTAGGCAATCCTACTGACTGAGCTATACCTCCAGCCCTGGGCAACAAGTAACTCTTCGATGTTTGCAGAAGTTTCCATCTGTGGTTTGGTGGTTCTCTTATTTTTTGGCCTGAAGTGAGGCAGAACATGATGGTGGTGAGTGTGTAGAAGGGAAGAATGCGTATGTCATGGTGGCCAAGAGAGGGAGGGAGGATGGGGAGAAAGAGAGAAGGAAAAGAAGTGGGAGTATTGTTAGAAAATATAGCTTTTCTGGAACTAAAGTAAAATAGAAAATTGGATAGTCCTTTATTATGATTTCATAATTTAAAACTTTCTACAAAGAAAACTGCAGGCCCCAATGACCTCATTAATGTACATAAAAAATAAGTAAAAACATCACTTTTTCTTTTTTACAAACTTCTCTGAATACAAGTAAAAGTAAATTACAGTCTCAGCTATGAAAGTTTTTGCATGGAGATTAGAAACTACATAAGGATGACTATTTTCACCAGTTCTATTAATACTGGGTAACTACTGAGCTCCCTGACAGTGTAGTAAGGGGGGGAAAAATTGAGATTATAAAACAAAAATTTGTGCCCTAAGAAATTTCAAATGTCTTTATTTTTTTTTAAATTATTTATGGGGCTGGAGAGATGGCTTAGCGGTTAAGAGCACTGACTGCTTTTGCAGGGGACCCGAGTTTGATTCCCAGCACCCACATGATGGCTACGAACTGTCCTTAACTCTAGTTCCAGGGGAATCCAAAGCCTTCTTCTGACCTCTGCAGCATTGCATGACATGGGTGCACTCACATACATGCAGGCAATACACTCATACACATAAAATAAAAATAATAAAATTTTTAAAAAGACTATAGAAATCTAAAAAAAAAAAAATATTTATTTTGGTCTTTTTAAGACAGGGTCTCCCTGAAGCCTCAGCTGGATTAAAGACATGTGCCACCACGTCCAGCTTTATTTTTATTTTTTATGTGTATGAGTTTATTGCCTGCATGTATGTAAGTGCACCTGTGTTGTGCAGTGCTTGCGGAGATTAGAAGAGGGTGTCAGGTCTTCTGGAACTGGAGTTATAGACAGTTGTTAGCCACTATATGGGTGCTGGGAACTGAACCTGGGTCTTTTGCAAGAGTAGCTAGTACTCTTACTGCTGAGCCATCTCTCCAGCCCTAAAATGTCTTTATTCACACATGATCTGATCTTTATGTACAAAGGAAATCCAGTAGAATCAATTATACCAATTTTTTCTAACTCCTGCAAAACATTGATTTATACTTACATTTAAAATTGTGTGTATGTGTGTATAAAATGTTAATTTAGATAACTATAAATTTTGTGAAAAGTTAAATGAAATTTTTGTTTTGGGAACTTAGAGGCTGATCGTGAATTCATGACAATATTTGTCTCATCCTAAGTGCTGATAATACAGGCATGTGCCACCATACCCAAGTCTAATTAAAGGGTTTTGTTTTTTTTTTTAATTTTATTTATTCGGTAGGGTGGGGGAAGCAGTTCATATCTAGAGAGGAGAGGACACCTTGCAGGAGTTAGCTCTTTATCTCCACCATGTGGGTCAGGGAATCAAACTCAGGGTGCCAGATTTAGTGGCAAGCATTTCTACCCACTAAGCCATCTTGCCAGCCCTAAAATTCTTCATATGATCCACATTTTTGTCCTTCTTTGCCCCTGTTTCTCTTGTATCCTCATTTATGGTTTGCTGAAGTACAGCATCTTGACCTCCACGTAAATACTCTTCATGAATGCTGTATCCTATGTATCGTTTATTATTATTTAGGGCTTCATCAAAAGATACAGCGTCAGGGCTGGATTGATGGCACAGTGGTTAAGAGTACTCGCTGGTCTTTCAGGAGACCCAGGTACTGTTCCCAGCATGCACATGTTGGTAACACCCTTCCTCAACCCCAGTCCCAGGTGACATGACTCCCTCTTCTGGCCACAGATGGTACTGCATAACACTCTTAAAATCGTACATTAACTGCCTTTATCCCAAAGACATAAGTTTGTGATTTGTACAAGAAAGATGATTACTATTTAGAAATGATCCTGAAAGTGTTTTTCACAGGAAATTTTTGTTTTTTGGTCTTTTTGAGACAGGGTCTCCCTGTAGCCCCAGCTGACCTGGAACTATGTAGACCAGGCTGGCCTTGAACTTACAGAGATCCACCTGCCTCTGCCTCCCAAGTGCTGGGATTAAAGGCATGCGCTACCATGCCCGGCCCTCACAGGAAACTTTTATGGTTGTAAAATCATGGAATATTTAATACCTTAGCATATTTACCAAGAAATATCTTTGCTTTTTGCTGGATCTAAAGCTATGAATGACAGGTGTTTGTCTTTACAGCACTCTTGAAATAATATCTAAAGACATTCCCTGAGGAATAATTTGAGAAGATAGGTAAACCTGCCCTGTTTTTTTTTTTGTTTTTTTTTTTGTTTTGTTTTGTTTTTTTTAACAATGTAAACTAGCTCTAGCTGTCCTGGAACTCCCTATGTAGACCAGGCTAGCACCTGCCTCTGCCTCCTGAGTGCTGCGATTAGGCATGCACCACCATGACTGGCCTAACAATTTCTAATAAAAGTTGTATATTGAGGGTAGGGGGTTGTTTTGCTCATACATTGCGTTCCCTATTTTTATAGAGTTAAATGTTATTTCCTATTAGAAGAATGTGATGAGAAATTCCCTTAGAAATAGTGATATTTTCATTGAGTTATTTAGATCTAGCAGTCTTTCTGATGCAATAATCTTTTCTTTTTTTCTGTAGATATCAACAAGTTTCTTTGGATGGTCCGGATTGGAGGTAGCACAGATACAGGAAGACATATCAAAGAAAATGACTACTATACTTCGACTGGGGAATTCCGTGTGGACCGTGAGGGTTCTCCAGTGCTGCTCAACTGCCTTATGTATAAAATGTGTTACTACCGCTTTGGGCAAGTCTACACAGAAGCCCCCTTTTTAAAGATTTATTTATTTGTGTGCAACTGTGAGTGTTGATGTGAGTAGGTGAGTGGGTGTGGCCTGCAGGGACCCGAAGAGGGTTTTGGATCCCCTGAAGCTGGAGTACAGGCAGTTGTGAGCTCTCTTAACCATTGAACCATCCTCCCAGACCGTATTATGTCTTAATCATAGTTTTGGCGTTTTTTTTTTTTGTAACTTTTGGACTTTCTTTGTATGTGTGCAACTGTGAGTGTTGATGTGAGTAGGTGAGTGGGTGTGGCCTGCAGGGACCCGAAGAGGGTTTTGGATCCCCTGAAGCTGGAGTACAGGCAGTTGTGAGCTCTCTTAACCATTGAACCATCCTCCCAGACCGTATTATGTCTTAATCATAGTTTTGGCGTTTTTTTTTTTTGTAACTTTTGGACTTTCTTTGTATAGATGTTTGTATGAAGTTATTTATTATTTTTCAGATATCAATTTATAGAAGAAGCTTTTCAGAACCAAAAAGTGATCATAGATACACTTATCACCAAGCTGATGGAAAAAACAAAATACATAAAATATACAGGAAATCAGATCCAAAACAGGTAAATTTCCATTTATGAGACAGTAACTCATTTATATATAGTGTCTTCATTTCTAGAAGGAGACTTCACTCTGAAATACGAGGTAAGCTTTTGGATGTCAAGCATTTTGCAGTTGGTAAGGCTTTTCTGGAACCTCTGGGTTAAATGCTTTTTCTTCACTGCTGAGCCACTTTTCTAGTCCCCATTAAAAAAAAAATAGTAATTTCTGTAATTCTTTTTTGTTTTTTGAGACCTCACATGTAGCTTATGGTAGCCTTTGTATGAGCTAAGGCTCTCCTTGAATTTCTGATGCTCCTCCCTATGCCTCTCAGTGCTAGAATATAGGAGTGAGCCTCCCCCACCCCCTTAAAAAAATAGTAATGTTATTGTATGAAAGGACTTTGGTTTCTGAATTGTAACTAGTAAAAAAATCAAATCTTGCTGGGCGTGGTGGTGCACACCTTTAGTCCCAGCACTCAGGAGGCAGAGGCAGGAGGATCTCTGTGAGTTCAAGGCCAGCCTGGTCTCCATAGTGAGTTCCAGGCCAGCTGGGGCTACAGGGAGACCCTGTCTCAAAAAGACAAAAAAAAAAAAAAAAAAAATCAAATCTTTGGGTAGGTGCTAATTGCCCTTTCCTTTCCTTTTTGTCTTTCCTTTCTTCTTTGGTGGATTGAACTCAGGGCCTCATGCATAATAGGCAAAGATCTGACAGACAGTGAACTGTCTGCCCACTTAGATTTCTTTAAATTATGTTACTGTCTTTGGCATATGGCAGTGTTTTCCCCATCAACCCATTCTACCACTGTGAAGATTTAAATTAGTTTTTTTTTTTAAAAAAAAAAAAGATTTATCTTTATGTGTATGGTGTATCCCACCTGTGTCATGCAATCTCTGTAGATGTCAGAAGAGGGGGTTCAATCCCCTGGAACTGGAGTTAGGAATAGTTGTTATCCACCATGTGGGTGCTGGGAACTGAATCTGGGTCCTCTGCAAGAGCAACCAATGCTCTTAACTGCTGAGCCATCTCTCCAGCCCCTTAAGCTAGTTGAGTTTTCTGAGATAAGTTGCTCTGTACACCTACCTGATTTCCCTAATTCTGGAGCGATATTGACTGAAGAATTTCCAACAGATAATAAAATCTCTGCTACTGTGGTCTCAAGTTTTAGAAAATAGCTGTTAGAGAAGCAGGCAAGAGAATTTCACAGCGTTTGGAGGAGCATTTCTGACTTCTGTAAAGCTCTTCTGGTACTGTGCTATTTGGTGTTATCTTTTCTTTCTGTCCACTTAATCTCCCTGAGAAAGCATTCCTATTTTTCTCTAATCAAAGAAAGAAAAATAATTAGTTGATGAAACATAAATTAGCTGTTTTGCTGCTTATTTCAAGGTAATTTTTTTCCGTGTGTGTGTGTGTGTGTGTGTGTGAGAGAGAGTGGTTTTGTGTGTGTTTGCATATGTGTATGCTGTTTCACATACATATTTGTATGTGTGCAGGTGATGTTCCAAGGTTGGTATCAGGAATCTTCCTCAATGGCTCTTGCACTTAATTCATTGAGGCCAGGTCTTCAGTCAAATCCAAAACTGGCTGATAAGTCTGGTCCTGCTGTCTAGTTTGCTCTGGGAATCCTGTCCCCACCTTCTGAGGCTGAAATTATAGGTGGGGCTCCACACCACCTGTCATTTTACATGGATTCTAAAGGTTCAAATTCCTGTCCTCATGCTTGCAGAGCAAGTGCTTTTTAACAACTGAGCCATTTCCCTAGCCATGGTAAATAGAGTATTAAAAGTGGTAAACTAATATTTTTGTGTTTTTACTTTATTCAGTTATAGTGAAAACAGTATCTCAGTTCAGATGCTTGAGATCAGAATATCACATTTACACAGCAGAAATTATTCTGAATCATAATTTTGCTTAGTCTTGTTTATAGAGCTTAGGTTTTGTGTACTCTCCCCACCCCATCGTTTTAAGTAAGAGTATTGATTTAAGTACTTGAAAAAAAATCTGCCATCAATTTTAGATGTTCTCCCTCTTTCATTTAATTTTCAGAATAATTGAAGTAAATCAAAATCAGAAGCAGGTGGAACAGGATATTAAAGTTGCTATCTTTACATTGATGGTTGAAATAAATAAAAAAGGAAAAGCTCTTCTGCACCAGCTAGAGGTAAGTTACTGCCTGGGAGTAGTATGTTGTAGTGATCTGACAGTGTTGTCCAATGGGTTTGTGAGTTTGAGGTCAATTCTTTGCCATTTATGATTTACTAGTATTTCTTCTTTAACCAGTTTCTATGTAACTTTGTACACTACAGACTTCTTGCTCCTCCATTGTTGACTTTACAACACAAAACTTAAAGCCTTATTCAGGAGGAGGTCTGTGAATGTTTGATGAGCCATCTTAAGATTCATGGAAGTGGGGATGGAGAGACAGCTCACCGGTTAAGAGCACTGACAGCTCTTGCAGAGGACCCTGGTTCAATTCCCAGCACCCACATGGCGGTTACAAACCGTCCTTAGCTCCAGTTCCAGGGGAATCTGAAGCCCTCTGTGGCATTGTGCGACATGGGTATACTTACATACATGCAGGCAGTACACTCATACACATAAAATAAAAATAATAAAATATTTTTTAAAAAGATTTATGGAAGTGATAGCTATTGCATCATTAAAGGGTTAGAATTCAACAGAATTTTCTAGAAAGATACAATATTCATTATTTTCAAATACAGCCCTACAACACATAGTGATGTTTCTGTCAACAGCAAACTACATATATAAATAATGGTTTTCTAAGGTTATATGATCCAGTCACCTCATGGGACCATCTGTACACTATGATGCTTGCACAATGATAAAAATACCTTTCATATATCCCATTGTTAGTAATACATAACTTCATATTTAATTAACCTCGTGAGAAATAGTTAAGAATGGTGGCTTGTGCCTATAGTTCTATCATTTGACAGGCAGAGGCAGGTGGATCTCTTTGAGATCAAGACCAGCCTGGTATACATGAGTTCCAGGCTAGCCAGGGTTACATACTGAAGATCCTGTCTCAAAGCAACAGCAACAAAAAGGCATAATGTGGCTCTTACCCTCAACATTGTATAGTCTTTTTTTCTTCCTTTTTTTTTGGGGGGGGGTCTTTTTGAGATAGGGTCTTCCTATAGCCCCAGGCAGGCCTTGAACTCAGAGATCTGCCTGCCTCTGCCCCCCCAGGCTGGGGCTAAAGGTGTGTGCTACCACACCCGACTTTTTTTTTTTTTTTTTTAAATACAGTTTCTCCCTGTGCAGCCAGGGTATCCTAGAACTTTAATCCTCCTGCCTCAGCCTCCTCAATGTAGGAGTTTACAGGCCTGTACCACCACACCTACCTTAATAGTTTTAATTTTAAGAGCAGCATATGAAATGTGATGTTCAAGGCACGATGGTAGTTTCTAATTGCAGATAAAAACAGCACAAAAATTACTATTTTGATCATCTTATAAACTCATGAAGGGCAATAACAAAAGCCTTGAGTTCAAATAATGAGGTTACAACTGGCATGCTATATGTGAACTTACAGTGGTCTTTTGGTGTTCTTTTTGTATGTTCATGGGAAAGAATGTAGTCAAGAAGCAATTTGGAAGACAAGAGCTGCTTATTCTTAATTTGCAGTCCTCTCAAAAGTCTCAAAAAAGTTGTGTTTCAACTATGTTTCACAGAGATTAAAAGTAGCCTAGTAGATAAATTATCTTCTGTTGACTCAGACTTAAATTAGATAAGACAAAGTCATTGACTGTTAATAGTCTCTCCAGTAGCTAGCTCATTCAGTTTTCATGTATATTTCCCAAGTTTGGTGCTAACTAGGCAGATATTGACATTCACTCTTTTTTTAATTTATTATTTTTATTTTATGTGTATGAGTGTTTGCCTGCATATGTGTGACCTGGGTCATGTGCCCATGGAGGCCAAAAGAGGTCATTGGATCCCTTGGAACTAGAGTTATGAATGGTTGTTAGCCTCTATGTTGGTGCTGGAATTAAACCCCAGTCCCTTTGCAAGAGCAGCCAGTGATCTTAATCCACTAAACCATCTCTCCAGCCTTCGATGTTCACTCTTTAATGAGAATGCAAGTTCATATTAGAATGTAGCAGTTTGACTTGTAAACTTTTCTAATTGTCTAAGCCAATAGAAAGCCATGTTATCGTTTTCTTACTGAGTCATGAATGGGGTTTTTAAAGACCTTTAAAATAACCCAAATGCAGTGCCTTCCATTTTTGATGGTCCTGTCTTTTCTAAGTACATTTTTTTTCTGTTGAGAAATCATATTCTGACCCCTTTCTCGGGGGTGGTGTCATGTTGTGACTGAATATTCTGCTTTTATGTAGCTTTTCTAAAAATGCATTAAATGGAGTTGGAGCGATGACTTAGTCGTTAAGAGCACTGGCTGCTCTTGCAAAAGGATGGGGGATCAAAGACCCCATGGAAGGGTTCTAATCATAGCATGAACCTTGGTCATACCTCTTTCCAATGTGATGTTAAGGCATGTCACCTTATTTCATCATCTGTACAGTAGGGATGGGTGTCTAATAAAAAGGCCATAAACATTTCAGTGTTAAGTGAAAAATACTTTGACTCAGTTGCAGTTGGAACTAGAATTTCTAAAAAGGTGAAATTGTGTGGTTGGTTGAGTCTTGTGATGAGTTGATAACTTGAATGCATTGCTGGATGGTGGGTCTGTTTTTATGTATGTTGAATTTAACATTTAATGTGTTATAGCTATTTCTTGCTTGCTTTTTTTTTTTTTTTTAATTTGGCAAGATTCCTAAACAGGCTGAAAACCCAGAAGGCTTAGTGGTTGAGGGCAACACTTGGGTTTTAGAAGTGATCCTTTGTATTACAAGGGATAATGCTTAAGTTTCTGTTTGTTTTTTGTTTTTTTAAGATGAGGTCTCCCTGAGACCTAGCTGCCCTGGAATTTACTATGTAGACCAGGTTGGCCTTGATCTAAAGAGATCCACTTGCCCTACCACTATGGCTCTTAAGATTTTTGTTTTTGTTGCTATCAATTGAATACATAGAGTGGGTTCGTATTCTGAGTTGGTTATCTGAAAATAGCCATTGAAATGAATGTCAAGTGTAGACTAATTTTAAAACTGTTCTTTTCAGAGCCTTGCAAAGGACCATCGCATGAAACTCATGCAGCAACAACAGGAAGTGACTGGACTGTCTAAGCAGTTAGAGCATGTAATGCACTTTTCCAAGTGGGCAGTTTCCAGTGGCAGCAGTACGGCCCTGCTGTACAGCAAGCGGCTGGTAAGATGAAGCATAAGATGTGTACAGTGAACAGCAGAATTGGGATGTGATATTCAGACATAAACCTGGTGCACACCTCTATAGTCCCAGCCATTCAGAAGGCTGAGGCGGGAGATCACAGAAGTTCAGGGCCAGCTTGGGCAGCAAAACAAAACACTGTCCAAAAATAAAACAACAACAAAACTAAGATGGACCATCTGTTTATACTTAATTGTTTTTTTTACCTGTTTTTAATTTCAGTTGATGCAATTTCATTTTAAAAAATATTTTTACTAGGCATAATTTTGGTGTGGCTTTAATTGTAATTTCCTGATAGCACTTCTATTTGGTTTTTCCCCAAAATTTTCATTCTTCATGGCAAATTAACTTAATGCAAAAGTTAAGAAATATTGATACTAACACTTATCACCTACAGCACGCCAATATCTAAGTCAAAGTATTTTTCATGTAACATTGAAATGTTTATGGCCTTTTTATTAGACACCCATCCCTACCATACAGATGATGAAATAAGGTGACATGCCTTAGCATCACATTGGAAAGAGGTATCACCAAGGTTCACGCTATGATTAGAATCCTCCCATGGGGTCTTTGATCCCCATCAGCATTATTCTGAAGGGCCATTTACATATAACGTAGTCTAGGATTTGGTGAAATTACTGAAAATAATGGCCACTGTGCTTGAAGCTCTCTGTTTAGTATATTTGGCACGGACCATACTACGTTTCTGTTGAGCTTCCAAATGGTGTTGATGCTGCTGGACTGCTGACTAAGGTTTGAGCAACAGGACTCTAGGAAAAATTTAGCCACTGGATGTGGGTTGAAAAGAGTCAACAGATATTTAAAGTCTGAAGTTTTGAGACATCCATATCATTTGTCACCCATTCTGTTCTTTGGAATCAAGTGGCAGAAATCTGTGTTACACATTTTATTTACTTAATAATTACTTTTTTTTTTTTAAGATACTTTAAAGTCATTTTTACAGCAGGTCTCAAAATGTGGTCAAATATTGATGATTACAGTACTGACATAAGCATTTCTAAAATTCTAATCATGAATTGTATTCAAGTGACATCTCTTCATGATGAATCTTTGTTTTTACTGCAATAGTATATAACTGGAAAAAGAATACAGTATAAACCTCCTCTGTTACTTGGAAATCAGTCTTTGACCTACTTTTTCACATTATCTGCCTCTTCCTGTTCCTGGTATTCTACTCTTTTCATACACGTTTAACTTTTTTAATTTTTTTAAAGATTGGCATAGAAGATCACAAGACAATTTTATGTTAAATTTCAGTTTGCTGATTTCACTTAGTAATCTATGAATTTATGTTGTCACAAATGGCAGGATTTCCTATTTAATAGCTAAAAGTCCATTGTGCATGAGATCGATACATATATGAAAATGTATACATCTGTATATATGTATCTCTGTCACAGTATTCTTCTGTCAGTAGACATGTGAGTTGTTTTTCTATCTTGACTGGCATGAAAAACAGGTAAACATGGAAGCTCAAATGTCTCTAGCAGGTATTTGAGAGTTTATCCAGTAATGGGATTGGTCAGGCCTATGGTAGTTCCAGTTGATATTTTCTGAAGAGCCTTCATAATGTTTCCATATTTGAACTGAACTTGGCTCCTCTGCAAGAGCATTATGTACTCTTAACTACTGAACCATCTCTAGACCCCTGTTGGACATTTTATCTTGTCTTTGGGGAAATTTTTGTTCAATTATTTTGTAAACCACCCTATTCCCCCCTCTTATGGATGTATACATGTGTATGTATTGCAAATATTTTCTCCTGATCTTATGGTGCCTTTTCGATTATTTTCTTGGCTATGCAGACTCAGCCTCGTCTGTTTTTTAATTTAGTTCTTTTTCATGATAGGAATGAAAAAGATTGACTAAGCCCTGTGAAATGATAGACTTCATTCAGAAGTCCATTCTTTATGATATGCTATACTTTGTATTATACTGTGTTAAGCTCCACAGTATTTCCTTAGCATTCTTCTGTTATCTGTTAAATCTGTAATTTGTGTATTTAGAAGGCAAGAAAAACATTGAGAGACTAAAAAAGTAAAACAGTCATTTTTATTAGCAGTAAATATTTCTCTAGTAAATGATTAGAAAAATATGGAGTAAGCAGTAAAGGATCAGCCACTGCCTAGCCTCCTCCTAGCTCAACAGTCAAGTGCCTTTTTGTTTCCTGAGTGCCACCTCTTCTTTAGTCTACCAACTCAGAACATGTCATGCTGTTTTGCCTAAGTACTAATGCCTTTTCTTGGAAAGCTTTTCTCTCTCTCCTGAAGCATAGTTGTCTTTCTGTTTCACCAAGGGTGATTCTCCTGCCTCAGGCTCCAGAGCGCAGAGCGCCTAGACTATAAACACATACCATCAAGTCTGGTTTAGACTTTGAATGAATGAACACAATGAGAGAAGGAAAACCAACAGTTCTGTGTAAAAATGGCACTCAAATACTAAGACTTTGAACAGAACTTGGTGTGACTCTACTTGACAGTATAGGAGGGAGCTCAGTGAAAGATTGATGGTGAAAAAATGAGGCGACGGTAACATCTGTTAGAAGTGTAGGTGACATGCAGACATTAGAATTGGGAGCACAGAAATGCTGAATTTAAAGTTTTAAACCTCTGTAGAGATGAGATAGCTGTTTTGTGTCTGTGAAATGGCCCATGTTGGCCTCTAGGCTATGTAGTCAGGGCTGAATTTGACTTCTAAATCCTCCTGCCTCCACCTCCTGATGGCTGGGGATAGAGGCATGTGCTCCTATGCTCAGGTTATTTGGTACTAGGGCTGGAACTTAGAGCTTGTGCACGCTAGACAAGCACTCTACCAACTGACCATATTTTTAGCCCCTATTTGATTGTTAATGAGAAAAAAATTACTGATTACGAGTATAATTACTAATACTAGTTCTTAGGTGTTTTTTGGAGTTTTTTTGTTTTTTGTTTTTTTTGGTTAACTTTTCCTGAGTATAATATATAATCAGAAATGTTAAATGATATCACAAGTAAAACTTGGGAAAGGCACTCTGTATTGTGCTGTTTTGCACAGTCTCCAGAATAAGTTAATATGTTTTAGTCAAAATTTACTAGGGTTGTTTGAGATAATGTAGCAATTTAGAGAAATTTATTTAATATTTGTTGAATGCTTGTCATATGGCAGACAACATTCTGAGTAGTGAGGGACCGAAATTAAAGACAAACTCTGCCCTTAAGGAGCTCCATTTTAGTGGCGGTAGATAAATATATGAACTGTTGAGGGTGTTTAGAAGCGCAGGCTAGAAACAATCAACCCCTCCCTCCCTTCTGTCTTTCCCTCCCTTCTTTTTCCTCCTTTCCCTTCCTGAAATTCAGAATCTAAACAACTAGACAAAAGCCATGCTGCAAGCTGGATAACTGTAGGAATGCAGTGAGGTTAAATATTGCACATACAGAAATTAATGAAGAGACCCAGAGACTCTGGGCATTAAAACAGTGGGTAAGAAGGCTAATTAGAACCAAATGCATGGTGATGGTGTGAGTGTAACAGGAAAGGAAAGAGAGAGAGTTACTGGGCACAATTTGCACAGAAATGTATGTACAGCGTAAGACTGCCTGACTTTAGCTTACCTGAGGTCTGTGTAGCAGGCTGCAGCTGGAGAAATGCTGTTTCCCAGTGTGTCACTGTGGTGCTATAATTGGGAGCCATCCTAAGAAGGTCATGCCTAAACTTGTGTCTTGAGGAACAACAGTCTGTATTTTACTTTTCCCTGGATCTCACTGTAGTCATGCTATTCTGGCCATTGCCTGTCTTTTCCCTAGCAGCATACCTTCAAAACAAACCCACTGACAAATATTTGTAGTGGGATTCTGCTCAGAAACAGGGAATGCGGTAGAGCTCACTTTAACTTCACAGCTGAAGAGAGTCAGGAGACTGAGCCAGGTGTGTGATTGTACATAGGAGTAGGTCTTGGGAACCCATAGTATGGGCAGTGGATTCTGTGGGACCTTCATGACTTGCCCTGCCCTGAGTGGACTTCTCAAAGGGTACCTGAGAACCAGTGCTCAGCATCAGCCTGGCCCTGGGAGCACATAAGCTAGGCTGTCTGGAATGAACTCTAACCCACAGAAAACTTTGCTGTGTGTTCCACCCTACCTAGTTCTGGTTGATCAGGGCAGCTGAGAGCTACTCAGCTTGTGTCTTGAAACACTCCCACTGTTTACCTGATGAGCAACACAGGTCTGTTCTTGGAAGGGGTGAATAAACACCAGCCTTTGGTCTCTCCATTGGGTGCATAGCCACCAAATGAGATGTGTAGATCATGGCATAGGTATTGAATACTTGCTTATGCCTGAGTAATCAACCCCCCCAGAAACAATAGTTTCACCTTTATTAAGACTTTCTTGGCTGGGCGTGGTGGCACGTACCTTTAATCCCAGCACTTGGGAGGCAGAGGCAGGTGGATCTCTGTGCGTTCAAGGCCAGCCTGGTCTACATAGAGTTCCAGGCCAGCTGGGGCTACAGGGAGACTCTCTCAAAAAAGACCCCTCTGCCCCAAAAAAGACTCGGTATTTTCTGATGTTTGTGTATATATTTATTACATTGTTTTTATTACTTTTTCCCCTGTCAATTTTTTTTATTCTTGATCTTTTTTTTTTAATTATTGACTTCTTTCTCCTGTACTTTCCCCTTTTACTTTTGAATATTTTGCTTCTTGAAAAAAAATTATTTTTTAATTTTTATTTATGTGTGAAGGTGGGTGGGTGCCTATGGAGGCCAGAAGAGATCATGGGATCCCCTGGAACTGAAGTTATAGGCAGTTGTGAGCCATCCATTGTGACTTGCATTCAGATTCTCTGGAAGAGTAGCAATTCCTTTTAACCATTGTGCCTTCTCTCCAGCCCCCTTTTGTTTTTCTTTTTCCTTTTTTTTTTTTTTTTTTTCTACTACATTTTTTAACCTTTTAGCCTGTATTTCTGCTCCTACTAGTCCTGTTGGTAGTTATGCTGTAGATCTAGTACTTGGTACTTGGTTTTACTTTATACATATATCTGGTTCATTGCTATTCAAGAAGTACTAGAGAAACATTACCACCTTCATAGGGAACTAATATTTCAGAACATAGCACCAAGAGAAGGCACTTAAAAGTGGAATGTGTAAGAATGTGTAAATCTCAGCATACAAATAGAAGAAAGTAGAAAACCAAGGCAGCACAACTCTTTGAAACTGAAGATTTGAAAAGAGCAGAAAGCATTAATAATCATTTCCAGGGAAGGAAGAGGAAGGAATAGACCAGAGAAAGGTCAGGAGATAGCAAGTCTGCCCCGGGGGGTCCACCTGGAGTAACTGAATCTTAGTTGAGGTCTGTTTTCTTATCAGTGTAGTTTTAAGTTTGGGCAGAGAGATTTAATCAAGGTGGGTTACTTTGCTTTATCTGGAGAAAGGTTCATGAGAAGAAAGAGTACACGTAATTGGGTAAACGAGAGGAATTTGGGATATGTGTAAGAAAATGATTACTGGCTCTGGGATTTAAGTTGGATATTAAAATGTAGGGAAGAGAATAAGGCATAATGGAAGAACAGGAAAAATTAAGAGTAAAAAGTTTATAGGACCACATTTGTTGCACTGTTAGTTAATCTTCAGAGGAAGTGAGCTGTAAGCAACAGCTTTTGGATATCAAAACTGTTGATTGTGATGCTTATGTTGAGAGAGTAAATGTTCACTGAATACTGCAGTGTGGAGGAAAGTAAATGTTGTGAGATGGTATAAGAGTCAAAGATGGCTGTTTATAAAGAGCCCTAATGAGAAGAAGTGAGACCTACCCCACTAGCAGACCTGGTTCCATTTCCTGAGCTGAGATTAATTTGTAATGCCCTAAATCTAAATTCTGAAATTTGAGAGCATAAACTAAAAGAGCAAGAAAGCTGAATTGATATTTTTTAAACTATCATTATTTTTTATGTGTATGAGTATATTGCCTGTATGTTTGTAAATGCACCCATGTCATGTCATGCCTGAGGTGGTCATGGATCCCCTGGAACTGCAGTTATGGATGGTTGTTAGCCACCATGTGGGTGCTGGGAATCAAACCAGGTGCTGTGCAAGAGTAGCCTGTGCTCTTAACTGCTGAGCTCTCTCTCCAGCCCCATGAGTTGATACTTTTGTGAAGTATCACTGTTAATGAAAAAAAAAAAAAAAAATGGACTTAATTTACAGCTTGTGGATATTTCTTCTGAGGAATAAATAGTACAACTGAGTAGTGCAACTTCATAACTGTAAAATTTTTTCAGTAGAAAATTTTGTATGACCATTTTCTAAAAATGTGTATGAGTGTATTGCCTGCATGTATACAAGTGCACCCATGCCATGTAGTGCCCTTGGAGGTCAGAAGAGGGTGTCAGATCTCCTGGAACTGGAGTTAGACGGTTGTTAGCTGCATTGTGGGTACTAGAAACCAAACCTGGGTCATCTTGAAGAGCAGCCAGTGCTCCTTACTGCTGAGCGAACTCTCCAGCCCCCACATGACCATTTTTATAACCCACATGTGGTTGAGTCTTTGCACAGAAACCGGAGACTGTTTTTAGGTATTCATTGGCTACATAGTAAATTATTTGCCTAATAAACATTGGATGCTCTTTCTCTGCTTGCTTCTAGATTACATACCGGTTACGGCACCTTCTTCGTGCAAGGTGTGATGCTTCTCCAGTGACCAACAACACCATCCAGTTTCACTGTGATCCTAGTTTCTGGGCCCAAAATATTATCAATTTAGGTAGGCCATCATATGTACGTTTTCTCCAATGCATTTTTAATGTAGATTAAATATGTAAACCCATCCACTATCTTGTTTTACAAATGTTGTTTTTTCTGCTATGTCATATGTGTAGATGGTAATACAGAATGTAAATTTATGTTTTGAGGTGATATGAATATGTATTAATTTACAGGGCTTCTGAGTATAGAGATTTAGGAGCCCTCTCACCTCCCCATAGAATCCTATCTGTAGTATTACCTTTAACTTTGTATATCAGAATGGGTTTTCCTCCTGATGGTGGTACGTGGGGTTTTCATATTTAGGTTGGTCTTTTTTATGGTGCTATATAAGTGCTATGCCATTGAACCATGTCTCCCAGGCCAAGTATTTTAATATCTAGAGTATTTTCTGCTGAAATACTGTTCTCATGCTTTTATTGGCATGCCTTTTTTTTGAGGGTTGGGGCTTGAAACAGGGTTTCATGAGGCTCAGGCTGGCTATGGCAAAGATGACCTGAGAATCCTGATCTTCCTGTTTCCACCTCCCAAGTGCTGGGATTACAGGTGAGGCGAGGCCCGTTTTTCAGGTGTGTCCAACCCATAGCCCCAGGTTCTGCCTGCAGCCTGCCCAGTACAAAATCATGAATGTATTAAGAGATTTTTTGGCTTTGATTTTTTTTTTTTTTTTCCCCTTTTGGAAGGGGTTGTAATTCAGTTTCAGAGTTCTCAAACATGAACTTTGTAGATGATAGCATTGTGTTACAATGTCAAAAGGTTGGACATGACTGAGCTTAAACCAATTCAAATCCCTAATGGTTTATTTGCTTTATCTTAAGATTTATTATTATTATTTATGAGTGTTTTTCTTACATGTGTATGTGTACCACATATGTACAATTCCCACAGAGGCCAGAAGGGGGCATTGGGTCCTCTGGAACTGGAGTTATGGGTGGGTGGATGTTAATTGCCATGTGGGTGCTGGAAACCAAACCCAGTCTTCTACAAGAGTAGCAAGTGCTCTTAACTGCTGAACCATCTCTCCAACCCTAGACTCTTTGTTTATCCTGATCACGTTATCATGTCTCTGTCTCTGTCTCTCTCTGTGTATGTGTGTGTGTGTGTGTGTGTGTGTGTGTGTGAGAGAGAAAGGGTAACATACAAAAAATACCCAGTCTTAAATATTAGAGCTCACTGAATCATCAGAATATCTCAGGAAATTGAATATCTTTGCAAGCTGTTGGGTTGAAAGTTATCCCTTATCTTTCTTGCTATGATGTTAATGGAATGAAAATATTCTTTTTGCCTTTTGGTTTTTTTTATAGGAAAATGATATAAAATATTTAAAAGTTCCCTAGATACTGTCTGTTTCTCAACAAACAGTATTTCCTTTAATGGCATCTCAGGTTGGTAGGTTTGTTTCAGAATCATCAAAGATGGTTGCTTTTTCACCCCCAAGGCTAGATTCTAAGTGAGAGGAAAAAACAGCTGGTGAAAGCCAGTGCTTTCACAACACTAACACACTGGGAAAGGAGAAACAGGCTTAGACAGATGTCATCTGTGCAGAGAGCAAAAGAATCCCAGAAGCAGAGGTGATGGAGACCCTTGCAGGCCAATTGAGAAGAATCAAGAAAGGAAGTAACCCAGTTCAAAGATGAGCTAAGGAGCTGAACAGAGAGTTCTCAAAAGAAGAAATAAAGATGGCTAAGAATCATCTTAAAAGATGTTCAGCATCACTAATAATTAGGGAAATGTAAATGAAAACCACTTTAAGATTTCATCTTACCCCAGTCAGACTGGCTAAGATCAAGAGAACAAATGATACCAAATGTTGGAGAGGATGTGGGGAAAGGGGAACACTCACCCACTGCTGGTGGGGCTGCAAACTTGTTCAACCCCTATGGAAAGCAGTATGGAGAACTCTTAAAAAACTACAAATGAACCTACCATTAGACCCAGCTATACTACTTCTTGGCATATACCCAAGGAACTCATCCTATTGCAGAGACACTTGTACATCTATGTTTATTGCCGCTCTTTTCACAATAGCTAAGGGATGGAAACAACCTAAGTGTCCCTCACCTGAGGTGGATATTTATATCCATTTTTTTATCAATATAGTAGGCAACTGAAGTCAGGCACTCTGACCCACATTATTAAAAGAAACGATTTTGGAAATAAAAAGTGTGAGGTGGAGAGATGGCTCAGTTGGTAAAGTATCTGCCACTCAAGCTTGAGGACCTGAGTTTGGATCCCCAGTACCCAAGTAAAGGCTGGATATGATGGCGCATACCTGCAATCCCCATTCTCTGGGAGCAGAGAGAGGAGGAGCCTCAGGACTTGTTAGTCTTAACCCATCAATCCACCAGCTCCAGGTTCAATGAGAGATCCTATCGCAAAAATTAATGTGGAAAGCAATAGAGGAAGACACCCACTGTTAACCTCTGGCCCCCATAGGCATGTGATACACATGTATGCACACAAACATACAGAAAAAGAAATACAAAGGATGTATATAAACAGTCCTTCCTTTTAACACTGTACTTTTCTTCCATATATTAGTCTATATTTAGAACCTGTCACAAGTTATAAATCTGTACAAGCAATCTGAATAATAAATAAAATATTCTTAACATGATTTATTTATTTTTATTTTACATGTATGAGTGATTTGTCTGTCTGTTTGTAAGTATATCACATGTGAACTGTGCCCACAGAGGCCACAAGAGGGCATTGAATTCTCTGGAACTAAATTTAGGGATTATTGTTAGCTGCCATGGAGATGCAAGTATTTTTTTAAAAGAATTATGTTTCAAACTGTTTAAAATCTATATAGTTTTAGCTTTGTCTACAGAGCAAAAAAAAAAAAAAAAACCAGGATGTTCTAGTTAGATGAGGTCTGAGTTTGTGAAACTGATTAAAAGGCTGGGCATGGTGACTCACATGTGGGAGGCCAACGCAAGAGGATCACCAGTTCTGACTATCTTGGGCTACAAAGCAAGACCCTGTCTCTTAAAACAAAAAAAGAAAAAAAGTGGGAGGTTGGTTTAAGTATGTTCTTTTCTGGAACACGTATTAGAACTGTTGTATGTAGTTTAGTGATTGTATTTACAATGAGATCTGCTTTGAGAATCTACCAAGGAGGAGGTAAGTTTCCTGTGGCAAACATGCCTCAGTGCAGCAGTGCCTGAACAAAGGCAGCCTGACTCTTAGAGTTGTAAAATCAAGAGTGAAGGGCTTAGAGAGATGGTTCAGTGATTAAGAGCATGTACAGCTCTTGCAGAGAACTCAAGTTCAGCACCCACATCAGATAACTTTGAACGACCTGTAAATCTAACTCCAGGAGGATCTGATGCTTCTGGCCTCTGTGGACATTTGAACTTTCATGCAAATACCCCACCACCACCACGTGCACATAATTAAAAATTAAAAAATTAAATTTAAAAATTAAAAATAATTAAAACCAATAGTAAGCCTGATCTGTTTTCAGAACTTGTTCCTTCAGATTTCTTTTGGAATTCTTCCACCCAAAGGCATACTCTGTTTAAACAGTACATCCAGCAAGTAGGGGAAAGAAGCGAGGACCCTAGTCTTATTAGGGAAGGATTTGCCTTTCCAACCCCTTCTGCCCCAGAACAGCATATAAAACCGCAAAAGGATGTTATCAATCTAATCTCAACTTTTGTTTGCAAAATAATTATAATTTGTAGCTTTCAGTGATTTTTCACAACTACACACACACTATTCTGGGTCAGGGCAAGGCAAATCATGAGGGATTAAAGCTGTATGTTTAGCTTACAAGAAGAGCCCAAGGTTTAGTGAGATTATTTACATCGTAAAGAAGCTGAGATAGTGTTAAATGATCTCAAAACATGAGATTAGCTTCAGTTACAAGGTTAGATAAAATTCCCATTTGTAACAGAAGACAGTCCCAGAAAAGTCATTCCCGCAGTTTCCAGATTTGTTTATTCATGGTTTCTGAGAAATATAGAATAGTGTTAGAGAAAAATATTGATCTTAATGAATATTAGGTTAATGCATTGATGACTTTAGGAAAGTTTGATAGCTTTTGGATAAAGTTTTCAGTCTCCTTAAACCTTAGAACTCTTTTATCATTTTTAACACACGCAATTACATATACCTGCCTATTGCAGTACCAGACACACTAAATATTTGAGTAGTAGCTACTTTCTCTTTTTAAATTGCATATACTTAGTAAATTGGAAACATGAATCACTACTTTGGAAGCAATAAAGCTATCAGAAGCTAGTCAATATATTTTCTGTCAAAGAATAAACATAGTATTCATTATGAAAATACTTGAATGATTGCAAATTGTTAATAATAACCAAAAATAACAGATTATTTTAGAATCAATATCAGATTTGTTTGGTTTGATATATTAGCACTTCTTGAGGCAGCCTTTTCCAAATAGGTAGCTGTGTGAGACAAGATTTTTTTCACATGTTAACCTCAGCAGTATATATAACAAGAGATAAAGAAGCAGATATGAGTTATTAAGCTAGTTGTTTTGGTTTTCAGAAATGTAAAGCAATGCTACTCTTTTTTTTTTTTTTTTTTTTTTTTTTTTTTTTTTTTTTACATCTCCCTGTAGCCCCAGCTGGCCTGGAACTGTGCCACCACACCGGGCTAATTCTACTCTTTTTTTAAATTATTTTTGTGTTTGGGGGTTGTGTGGATGTGCATGCTATTACCAGAGGACAACTGTGTGGAATCATTTCTCTCCTTCCTTTATGTGGGTTCCAGGACTGGAGCTCAGGCCCCCAGTCTTGTGCATCACGCACCATTACTTGCTGAATTGTCTTACTGAGCCCAATGCTGCTCTTCAGAGTATTATTATTTTTAAATTAATTAGGTTTTTTCCTCATTAAAAATTTTCACATTGTTTTTATAGAATGTGTATTAAAACATCATTGTGGGTCCTCATTTTAATAGCCTAGTGGGTTTCTGAATCCAAAAAGTTAATCAGCAGTTGTGAATTACTCAGCCATATAAAAATATTTCACCAGGGGCTGGAGAGATGGCTCAGCAGTCAAGAATACTGGTTGTTCTTGCAGAAGACCCAGGTTCAAATCCCAGCACCCTCATGACAGCTAACAACTGTCCGTAACTCCAGTCCCAGCGGCTCCGACAGCCTCTTCTGACTTCCGTGGGCATTGTGCGACATGGGTATACTTACCTACAGGCAGGCAATACACGCATACACATAAAATAATAAAACTTAAAAATATTTCACCAATTATCAGAAACCTTCATCCTGTTGTCTTTTCTCTTTAATTAGGTTCTTTAGTAATCGAAGATAAAGAGAGCCAGCCACAAATGCCTAAGCAGAATCCTGTCGTGGAACAGAATTCCCAGCCACCAGGTGGTTTATCTTCCAACCAGTTATCCAAGTTTCCAACACAGATCAGCCTAGCTCAGTTACGACTCCAGCATATGCAGCAACAGGTAATGGCTCAGAGGCAACAGGTGCAACGGAGGCCAGCACCTGTGGGTTTACCAAACCCTAGAATGCAGGGGCCAATCCAGCAGCCTTCCATCTCTCATCAGGTAAATGTGGAAGCAGGCCTATCCTAACTTAGATAACTGTAGTATAATTGTTTTCAGCAGCATAAAATAACCAAGCCGCCTCCACTGCCTTTCATTTAAATATATACTTTTATAAAAACTTAACTGCCTTAAGGATCCCTAATCTAATACCTAGTTTTCAGGTCAACTCAAAAGTGATTTAATGAGCCAGGCATAGTGACTCACGCCTTTAGTCCCAGCACTTGGGAGGCAGAGTCAGGTAGATCCCTGTGAGATCAAGGCCAGCCTGGTCTACATATCAAGTTCTAGGCCAGCTGGGGCTACAGGGAGACCCTGTCTCAAAAAAACAAACAAGGGCTGGGCATGGTGGTGCATGCCTTTAATGCCAGCATTTGGGAGGCAGAGGCAGGCGGATTTTTGTGAGTTTGAGGCCAACCTGGTCTATATAGTTCCAGGACAGCTGGGGCTACAAGGAGACCCTGTCTCAAAAAAGACCAAAAAAAAAAAAAAAAGATTTATTTATTTAGTTGGTATATCCGTTTTCATCTACTGTTCATTGTCATCCTGTTCTAGCAAGGGTTAAATGTTCACGTTCCCAGGTAACTTAGGCCTGTGATTGATGGAAAAAGCTGTGTACCTGTAATTACTGTGAGTGCATCAAAATGATACACTTTAGGAAACTATTGTCTATCAAGATAGTATTTAGAAAACCACATTGCATCTTGGAAACATGAACAAAAAATAGAGGACAGGCCCGGCATGGTGGCGCATACCTTTAATCCCAGCACTCGGAGGCAGAAGCAGGCAGATCTCTGTGAGTTCAAGGCCAGCCTGGTCTACATAGTAAGTTCCAGGACAGCTGGGGCTACAGGGAGACTATAAAAAAAAAAAAAAAAAAAAAAAAAAAAAAAAAAAATAGAGGACAGGAGAATCAGTAGAACTCTACCCTTTCAGCCTTTTCCCATGTACTAGAGAAAATCCATGTGCTCTTCATAGTTTTACTCGAAGAGAAGTATTCTGTCAGTCCATTTTTTTAGCATGTGGATATGTGTGTGGTACAAGCACATGTGTACAGGTGGGCATGCATGTGTCTTATGTGGAGATCAGATGTTGACATCACATGCCTTCGGCTTGATTTGCTGAGTTTTTATAGAAATTTTACAAAATGTAGAAATGGTTTTCAAAGAATTTTTCAACCCTCAGTGGAAGTTATAGGCAATATATGTAGGGGTTTTGCTGTTGGATTTTTTGTTTCTTTTTCTGTTTGCTATTTTGTGGTGCTGGATGCAACCCAGGGCCTTACACATGCTAAAACACATTTCTGCCACTTAGTTTATTAACCAGGGAAGGAGTGAATCTTTTACCTTAATTGCCTTTTTACTAAGAAGAAAGTAACTGAGGCAGTTAATAACTATATGAAAAAAGGTTCTTATATATACAAGCAATGGCAAGCAGAAATAACCTCCAAGCCTTCAAAAAAGTCTCTACTATATAACTTAATTTTCTGACTTAGAAATACTTTTGGCATCTTACCTTACATAGTGTTACTTCTCAGTCTGTGCTATGACCTCTAGATCTTGTTTCATATTCTCATTTCCTTATTTCTCTATTCTGTCAAATACTCATGTCTATGCTTTTGCTCTCTTCTATAAATTTGTATACTACCCTTCTCCTGTATTCTTAGTTTCTTGGGTTTTTGCCTGTTTATGTGCTTATACATTTTGAGCAGTGCTGTCTAAGCAGATGGATCTTTGTGTGTCTGACTGTGTGGAGTATGCAAATCATATTGTACATCTGCCCGTTTGGGCAAGTGGAGTAAAAGTATTGTGCTTGTAAAAAGTCATTTCCTTGATAGTTCCTACTTCTTCCTGTGGAGAATAACCATGTCACCTGCATTCTTAAAGAGCCAGGTGACAACAGAGGCAGAGCAGTTCATTATGTGGCTCAAGTAGAACAGACTTGACACGCTTGGTGCTACATAGTATGCTCTGTCAAACTCCAGTGGACACATCTGCTCATTTGAGAGCACTCTCACATACATCCTTTTATGCATAATTCGTCGCAATAGTTCTCACTCTGATTATGCCTATAGGTTTGCCATTCTTTTCCTTAATTTTTTTTTTTTCCTTTTTTGCTGCTCACAGAGCTGTTCAGGTTTTATTTGGATGTTAACAGGAAGAAGGGTCTTGCACTTTAACAAGTGATTTATCAAACAAGTTAAATTTAAACTAGAATTTCTGCTTCAAAGACATGCCTCATGTAATATTCTAGTTAAATCATATTACTCAGATTCAAGTTCTTGTGTCATCAGAATAACAGAGATTGAAGAGACTTGAGCATTTGTAATCACTTGCTGCTTTGGTTCATGAAAGGAGATAAAAATATCTTTACATTTTGAGTTATACTAGCAAATGAAACATTTCAGTGCTTCCATTAATGCTTTGCTTTAGAGTCTGAGATGTAATTTACAGTATCCCGTGTAAGTTTCTTTTAAACACCGAAATTTCTTTTTTAAGTTCACTTTCTGCCACAGTAAATTGAAAACTCTTGTACTCCAAGTTGTCCAAACCTACAAAGAACTTCTCAAAGAGCAGTCTAATCGACGTCAGTCCCTGCTTTTTTTTCACTTTCGATAGCTTAGAAATCTTTGTTGTCTTTTAATTTTTTTAGCTACTTTTTTTTGGTTTTTCCTCCAATTCCTGCTTTTGAAGATTCCACTGTTCAAATGCAGTCGCAAAATTCTCGGGAAGTTCACTGTTAACCTTCTGCCTTTTGTTTTGGTATGTTTTCCAAAGCTCTTCTATTTTCTGGATACTGTCCTTGAGAGAATCTTTGGTAAGCACCTCCATGCTTCTTCTCTTTGAAAGAATACTATGAACATCTCCAAATTTTTCCAGCATTTTCTGTACTTCAGCTATTTAGTAACATCCTTCTCAGAAGCACTCTGATTTTGTCCTTCTTCAAAATCATAGATTGCTAATCCTGGATCCTCCTTGAGTGGCTTAGAATTTCCAGAGTACTTCCTTCACAACTCCAACCTCTGTCACCACCTCCGAAGTCCTCCTTAATTATTTTATTTTTATATTAATCTTTTAATTCTTGAATTAATTTTTTCATTGGAGAAAAATTATCACTAGTTTTGCCATTTATTTTAAGATTGTTTTGCTTTTAAATAGTCTTTGGGCTTTTTACCATAGTCTCATAAACTGAACTATAACTTTAGGAAAGTAAGAAAACATCACCATATACCTTGCTGATCTGTGAGCTTCTTAATGGCCTGGCCGGGTTAGTGTTTAGTCTTTTTGGCATCAAAAATGTCATTTTTTTGGTTGAATTGTTATAAACAGCCTACAAGAGAACTGTTGGTAGAAAACTTTGGTAGCTACTTTATTCTCCTTTAAGACTTATTTTAGATGTTGTTTCACTTAAAAAAATTAAATTTTCCACTGTTTCCACTTGTCCTATTTTCTGTTCATGTTTCCATGATATAAAATCCTCATTTCACATGTGTTATAGGAAAATCAAAAAGAATTAAGGGTTCAGGCTTATGCTTGTGTGGCACTTTGAGGTTCTCCTCCGTTGTTTTCACTAGCACTGTTTTTCTCCTCTTCACCTTCAGAATTTCAGGTGGTCCAGAATCAGTATTTAAATCTGTTTTTCAGTTGACCTGTAATTACTGATCATTCATAAAGGAGTAAGACCCAACACTTCTAAGAAAGAGAAAAAGGAAGCAATTAATCCAAGCTAGGAGACTGAATTCCAAAAGTAGAATAAAACTGGGTGGGATGAGGTTAGGGGGCTACACTTTAAAATGGTCTGCCTTTATAGTGTTTGAGTTGGTGCTTCATGAACCTTATAGATGACACAGTTTATTTGTTCCCCTGTGAATGTGGGAGGAGATATTTTCCTCTCACTAAGAAGTTCTGATCATACATATTTAAAGTATCTTGAAGAAAGAAGCAATAAATTCCAAACTGTAAAGAGAATTAGGTAGTCAGAGAAAACTGGCATTATGAGCAAATGTTTTTTTCTGAAACTCTGGTCACAATTTCTAGGACAACCATTTGTAGAGGAGGCAAAGCAGGACTTGTTATACCTAGCCTTCCCCTACTCAACCAATGTTATCTTTGAAATGTTTCCTTTCAAAATCCTATTCCTTTCACTTCTTTTCCTTTTCCTTCCCCTCCCCTCCCCTTCCCCCACCTTTAAAAATTGGATTGTACAAATTGTAACATTGCCCATTCTACCCATTATGTGTGTGTGAGATCATAATAGGAAGTCATCTTTGGCAGAGTTGCTGTCCTTTTAAAATTGTATAAAATAAAGATCCTTTAACTCTATGGAAGTAATTGTTACTGAAGTGGTTTAATTTCTTTCTTTTTTTTTTTTTTTCTTAGCAACCGCCACCACGTCTAATAAACCCAACTGGCCTGGAACTTGCTATGAAGACCAGGATGGCTTTGAGCTCACAAAGATGTGTCTGTCTCTGCCTCCTGAGTTGTCCTTTTAAAATTTTATAAAATAAACATCCTTTAACTCTATGGAAGTAATTGTTACTGAAGTGGTTTAATTTCTTTCTTTTTTTTTTTTTTCTTAGCAACCGCCACCACGTCTAATAAACTTTCAGAATCACAGTCCTAAGTCCAATGGACCAGTCCTTCCTCCTCATCCTCAACAGCTGAGATATTCACCAAACCAGAATATGCCACGGCAGGCAATAAAACCCAACCCCCTACAGATGGCCTTTCTGGCTCAACAGGCCATAAAACAGGTATAGACTTAACTTTCTCTCCAGCTGCTGATTGTGCTTTTTGCTTCTCTTTACTTCATATTACATTGGATTTATAAATAAACTAGCAGGTGATGAAACTTTTTATATTAATGAACAGAAATTACAAGTTTAGCAGGGTCAGATCTATGGAGACAGGTAAGAAAACATGCCTCGGTGCTTTATAATCTAGTCCTTTACATACTCTGTTTCTGTATGTAATCAGTTTGGATTTGATACATCAGCAAGGGTTATGAAATAACATTTTATTTATTATTTGGTCTTTTTTAAGGCAGGTTCTCCCTGTAGGCTGTCCTGGAACTCACTATGTAGACCAGGCTGGCCTCGAACTCAGAGAGATCCGCCGCCTTCTGCACTCCCCAAGTGCTGGAATTAAAGGCGTGCGCCACCATGCCCAGCCAAATAATATTTTTAAATTCGTGACTTTTTCTATTTTATCATTGCCAGTAAAGATTGGAACTATGGCTTGGCCTCAAGTTATATTTATAACTAATTTGTGGCCTTGGGCAGTATATTATTTTTATATCTCATTCCAACTATAAAAGGGAATGCCTTATAGAGTTATGTGGAGTTATCTGATGTTTATAAAAATACCCAACACCTTTCAAGTATGAAACCACCTCCGTTTATGGGATTTCAATGGGTAAATATATGGGCAAAGAATATTACCATGTTACAGAATTTTTGTGAAATGCTATCTCATTTCTGTATGTGTGTTTTAAGCTCATCTACAGAGTGGGAAAACCTAGAAAGATGCCATCTACTCTATAACCTTTGAAGAAGAGAAGGGGCGGTGAATGGGATGAGATGAAAGTGTTGGGTGTGTGGGTGTTGAAGATGACTTCACATCTCACTTCATATTGTTTTATACATAGTTTTTACAGTGAAACATATAAATTCAATTTTTCACAGTGCTCTTGTTTTAGTGCATTACCCTGTAATGTCATTCATATTTAAATGACAATGTGTTTGGACAGGTTTTTTTTTTTTCCCCCCCTGAATAATCTTTGGATACATTTCAGTTACTTTTTTTACCCCCATATTTTATTTTGAATTTTTTTCAAATATAATAAAAGTTAAAAGAATTTTATAGGGAACATTTTGTTTTGCTTACCTTATATACTAACCATATGTATATTTAGCCATTCATTATATTTTGGATAGGTTTTGAAGCAATCAAACAGCATGCTTCAACATTGTCTTTGTTTTGTGTTTATCTCAGCTTCTAACATGATTGACAAGGCTTTCCTCAGTAAGCCTTAGGTATCTGTTCCTCTGTGAAAAATAAAGAGGATATAAAAACCTGAAGGCCCTGGTTTATGGCTGGTTATTTTCAGATATTTCAGGTAGGGACAGAAGGAAATGTTTTCAATCCTTCACCTTTACCCTGAGGTTGCTTTTTGTATGCTTATATTTCTTTCCCATTATCCATAGGCTTTCCGAGGATGTGTTATGGTTTTCTGGTATATGCTAACTGTTCTCTGCCGTTTAAAAAATAATAATAAAAGTGGGAAGTGATGATGCATGCCTTTAGTCCCAGCACTAGGGAATCAGAGGCCAGCCTGTTTTCAAGTCCCAGGCCAGCTGGGGCTATCGGGAGATCCTGTCTCAACACCTCCCTGCCCCCCAAATTATGAAATCTATTTTTAGAGGATTAACACATATGTGCCCCCACACACACACACACACAAATTATATATACTGTTTTCCCTCCCTCATTCTTTCCTTTGAATTCAAACAGCAGACTGTGTCTACTCCATGTCTTGAAAAAGTGACTGACATTTCATGTGTCCCTTCTCTTGTTGCTACTCCAGTGGCAGATCAGCAGTGGCCAGACTACCCCCACCACCGCCAGCAGCTCATCTTCTACTCCCTCCAGTCCCACGATCACAAGTGCAGCAGGATATGATGGAAAATCTTTTAGTTCACCTATGATTGATTTGAGTTCACCAGTGGGAGGTTCATATAATCTTCCTTCTCTTCCAGATGTAAGTTTATACAACATTTAAAAAAAAAACAAAAAAATCCTTTGAAATTGTTGGAGTTAGCCTAAGGCCTGCTTTTATTGGATTATGAACTATTTCTGAAAGTTTGTTTTTAGTCTTAGAAATACAGCATCAACAAAATTATGAACACTTGGACATACAAAAGAATGTTTCAACCAGACTCTGAAGTTTATCATTTTTATAAATGATTCATTAATGCATCATGAGGTGAAGGCTGGGAAAGGAGGAAAATAAGACATGGGAGAATAGACTGGGATGTTCCCTACTAAAATGAAATATATTAAAATAAGGATGGAGATGAATGCCAGAAATTTAAGACATCAGAAAAGATGGATACTCCCTTAAGAATACCACACTTTTTTGTTTGAGCATACTGTTAGTACAGAATTACCTCTGATTCATTTCATAATTAATTACTTAAATAATTTAGGTTCTTGACTTTGACAAATGACTTAATCCTTCCAAAGGGAGAAATGAAATCATCTTTTGCCTCCACACTTAACGTCAATTCCTTGTTTTACCTTTTCTTATCCTGTAATCTCAGTGGTATGCTGTGCATGTATGCAACCAAAACATGAAACATTAACATATATGAAGTGTTTTATACACTATAGTTGGAAGGAATCATCTATAAGATTCTTGAGGTTGAGATCAATTATTATTTCCTAATAGTTGCATTATTAATCTCATGAAAGTCATTTCCGTTTCTATAATATACATTAAGGGGGATAGCTTTTTATTTACCTACTAAATTTTAATATACTTCATTCTGAGGTGGTACTCTAAACATGTGCGTGCAATATCTGGTCTTCATCTGTATAGTGCATACCCAAAGCATCTGCTAATAAAATATGGACCAAGTATTTGGACACTAAAGAAATTATATGAAGCCAGATTCTCACTGTATTCTTTAAATGAAACCACAGATCACAACAGATTGAACACATAAGCAGAAATGAGTCTAGTTTGTCACTCTAAAGTAGACTATAGAGATTGATAGCAGTGTATTGTGCTAGTTTTCTCTTTCCAAGTTCATTGAGTATATCTACCTTTTAGTTAAAAAAAAAAAATTGAAAAAAATTTTTTAATAGTTCGAATGGTAAGCTAGTTTTTTTCCCTGACTATTGACTTCTAAAATAATGTGTCCTCAGCATATTTACTTAGGTAGAATTTAAACTTTTATTCTGACTTGTTTATGGGGGAAATAATCTATCAGAACTTGTCAAATTTATGTCTTATTTTATAGTATTTATGATTGAAATTTTCTTAAAAATTTAAAGTGTTAGCTTGCAAAGTCAGTTTGACCTGAAAGTTTATTTTCTTTGAAGATTGATTGTTCAAGTACTATCATGTTGGACAATATTTCGAGGAAAGATACAAGTATAGATCATGGCCAGCCAAGACCACCATCAAACAGAACAGTTCAGTCCCCAAATTCGTCAGTGCCATCTCCAGGCCTTACAGGTAAAGTCACTTTTGATTTTATAAATGTTTTCCTAGTTTTACTGTAGTCATATGATGAAAAATTCTTCTCTGCCTTACTTTCTTATTAAAATGTATCTCAAGATGTTTTGGGGTTTGTTTGTTTTTTTCCTTAAAAAAGTGTGTATGTGTAACCTAGGGGAGTTCTTTCTACTGTGTGGCTTCAGAGTTTAGGTAGTCAGGCTTGGTAGCAAGCAACTGCCTGCTGAGCCATCTAGCCTGCCTCAGCATAGACATTAATGACAGCAGTTGGACCTCTCTTGTTTATTGCTTCCCATTTGAATCTTCAGCCTGACTTTCACACTTGCTCTCATTCACTGTTCTCGCTTTGTTTCTTTTCTTCCTCCCCTTCTATTCCTTTCCTTCTCTTTCCTCCGTTCTTCTCACTCTCCCTCCTTTCTCTTCCTTCCTCCTTTGTCCTTTTTTTTTCTTCTACTCTTCCCTCCCCCTCCTCCTCCTAGCCCAGTGTGACTGCTTCAAAGACATTATCCTCTTGCCTCAGCTTCCCTAGTGCTGAGATTCAGGCATGTGCAACCTAGATCAGTTTATTCCATGGAGTGGTTGTTTTCTTTATTGAACTCCTTAACAAAAAAATAATTTTAATATTATTTATTCTCTCCTATCATATGAGTTCCAGGAGTTCAACTTAAGTTGTCTAGCTTGCTGGCAAGCACCTTACCTGTTAGCCACCTGGCTAGCCCTCTGGAACTCATTTTCTGTCAGCCTTTGCTTCTTCTGCAGCTTTCACTCAACACTAGAATTCTTCCTACTCTATGGAAAGCAAGACTTGAAATATTTTACTTATTGTCATTCCAAGTTGGGCAGTATGGAGATGCTCCTGGCAACTAATAACTGTATAGGTCAGAGATACTGCCAAACCTCCTATGATGGATGCACAGGCATTCTCCCTGCCCAAATCCAATAGTGCTGACACTGAAAACCTTTTGTCTAACAGCTACAATGGATGTGATTGGACTTTGGCAGCAATCTATTGTTTCATACGACTTTATTGTTTATTGCTCATTTTCGTATAATGTAGGTGAGCATATTCAATGAAACTGAGTTCATAATTATTAGTTCATCTATAAATGTATTTTCCTCTCCTCAGGACCTGTTACTATGACTAGCGTCCACCCCCCAATACGTTCACCTAGTGCCTCCAGCGTTGGGAGCCGAGGAAGGTAAGCAGATTGAACCATATTCACTAGTACAGTTGTTTCTCAGTATTCATGCAGATTTGGTTCCAGGACCCCTCTATACCAAAAATCTAAAGATGGTCAAGTCCCTTAAATAAGATAGTGTCATATTTGCATGTAACCTCCACATACTTTTGTCTGTGCTTTCATTTATATCTAGGTTACTGATGGTGCCTAATGCAATGTGACTGTTATGTAAATAGTTGTTATACTGCATTGTCTAGGGAATAATAGCCCCCCCTTCCCACCAAGTATTTTCCATCCACATACATGGAGGCCACAGATGTAGAGAGCCAACTAAATGAAATCTCTTGCTAGTATTCAATGTTTTGATATTTGGTAAATTTTTTTACTTTTAATTTTTTTAAACTAATAATTTAATGTTGGGTTTAATCTTTAAAGATAGAAAATACTTGTCTAAGATGATGTTTGACATGTTAGCAAAGAAAAAGTAACTATAATATTGTATGTGGACACAGCTAGAAAAAAGAAACAGAATTTTCTTTTTCTTTTTGTTTTGACAGGATCTCACAATGTAACTCTGGCTGGCCTGAATCTCACAGAGATCTGACTGCCTCTGCCTCCTGAGTGCTAGAGTTAAAGCTATGTGTCACGACACCCAACCTCTCTTTCTGGTTTTTGAGACAACATTTCACTATGCAGCTTTGGCTGCCCTGGAACTCACTATGTAAATCAGGCTGACTGGTAGTGATATACTCCTCCCTCTGCCTTCCAATAAAGAAGCAGTGCTTTATTTCAGTGTTCTCTGACTTCTGTAATGATCAAACATTGGTTCTACTTTAAAAGAAATTTGGTGGGTTTTTGTTGTTGTTGTTGTTTTGTTTTTTTTAAGTACAGGGTCTCACTCTGTCCACTAGGCTGGTCTAGAATTCTCAGAGATTCACCTGTCCTTGCCTCCAGACTGCTGGGGCTAAAGGCATATGTCGTCACACCCAGCTTAAATGAAATGTACTGACAGTTCAGATGCTACTTTAGATTGTTCTTTTGCTCTCCCCTCATTATGTTTGTAACTTGTTGTAGATACAAGCCCAATTCTTATTAATCATTTAATGGAAGCAGTTTGCCTAGGAAGAGAGTTGTAATTGTACAAGGGGATCCCACTGTGATCTTTAAGGAGCAGACACCAACAAATGGTATCCTAATTGTCCTAATAATACAAATTGGTCATGAAAGCCTAGAGGTCTCATTTTCACTGGCTAGAAAAAGAAATTAGTAAAGCATAAAGATGTTAGTTTTAAGACACCAGATGTAGCTGGCTGTTGTCATGCAAGCCTTTAATCCCAGCAGAGGCAGAGACAGGTGGCTCTCTGGGAGCTGGAAGACAGCCTGGTCTACATAAGTTACAAATCAGCTGGGGCTACAGAGGCGACCCTTTCTCAAAAAATCAAACAAACAGAAATATAGAGCCTCAGAATAGTGAGGTCAGTTTTACTTGAGATTGTCTTTTCAGATTATATAATGTGTCTATTTAGAAAGGTTAGTATATAATGCCTTTTTATCATTAATGAAATTAATGCATGCTGCAGTTGCATTTCAGTTATGCATCATTTTCTGCTGATGTAGTATAGTTATTGTTGTGAAGATAATTATTCCAGAATATTCTTACTGTATTTGTGTGTGAAGTTTTCAGTTTAGCATTTTTAGATTGTTTCATTTTATTTCTCTTTTCCTTTCCTTTCTCTCTTATAGCTCTGGCTCTTCTAGCAAACCAGCAGGAGCTGATTCTACACACAAAGTCCCAGTAGTCATGTTGGAGCCAATCCGAATAAAACAAGAAAACAGTGGACCACCTGAAAATTATGATTTTCCTGTTGTTATAGTGAAACAAGAATCTGATGAAGAATCTAGACCTCAAAATGTAATTATTTTGGTGCTTGCAATGCTGTTCCCATTTAAGGGGCAAGGAAGGAGTAGTCCCCAGTACAATAGCACCCATAGAACAGGCCACAGTATGAGAATTAAAACTACATAGGAATTTTGTTCAGGGCAGAAAACTATTTAGGTAATAATGAAAAGTCCTATGGGGACTGGCTTAGACATGGTGCCTAGAAAACTAAGCAAACTGTTCGAAAAATAAGGTAATTGAAATAAAAGATTGTACAAGCAAGGAAATGTAATCATTGTACATTTTATAGGTCTTCAGTGAATAGTATGTGTCAGTGATGAAATAAATACCTAAATAAATAAAAACTGATGAGGATATAGCCTGAATTACATATAATTATAGTTGTGGGCTTTCAGAAAACCTCACTAGTACAGACAGGAACTAGACTATTGAAATTATGAACAGTTAATGCTGCCTCCCATGATCTCACCTACTTCAGTGCTCAATAAAACCATGCTAACAGAACAGGTTAGGTTGTGGTAACTGTGTAAGGGAAGGGAAAGGAAAGTGAGAATGCAAAAACTTATTCTTGGTATCTTCCATAGCTAAAAGCATACATACACTTACATTTTAAAATTGAAAAATCCAAGAAATTGCAGTTGATAAGCATTTCATTTAGAAATGTAGAGGTAAACTAGGTATAGTGTTATGCACTTGTAACTCTAGCTACTTAACGAGGCTTAGGCAGAATTGCAAGTTTGTTTTATAGAAAGGAAGGAAGAAGGTAAACTTTTTAAAAATGACATTTTATTTTGTGTGTGTATATTTGTGTGGGGGCTTGTGTGTCACGGTGCACATGTGGAAGTCACAAGACAACTTGCTACAGTAGGCTCTCTCTTAACGTCAAGGTCCTAGAGATTGAATTCAGGTTATCAGGCTTACTAGCAGATACCTTTACCCACTGAACCATCTTGCTAGTTCAGATCAAGTTAAATTTGATTATCCTAGTATCTAACACAGAATTTAGATGACTCTTAGAGGGATATTTGTGTCACTCAAAACATGCATACATACATAATACTTTTTTTCTCTTTTACTGTAGACCACCTATCCAAGAAGCATACTTACTTCCCTCCTTTTAAATAGTAATCAGAACTCTTCGTCTGAGGAAACTGTACTAAGATCTGATGCCCCTGATAGCACAGGAGACCAACCTGGACTTCATCAGGAAAATCCCTCAAATGGAAAGTCTGAGTGGCTGGATGCCTCCCAGAAGTCTCCACTTCATGTTGGAGAGATGAGGAAGGAGGAAGACCCCAATGAAGACTGGTGTGCAGTTTGTCAGAATGGAGGGGAACTTCTGTGCTGTGAAAAGTGTCCCAAAGTGTTCCATCTTTCTTGTCATGTGCCCACATTGACAAACTTCCCAAGGTAAGATACTGTTTCTTGCCTTCTCTAATCTATAGTGCAAGTGTTAGGAGTGTGGCACTGTGGTAGAGCTTCCTGGCTAGCATATATACAACCCAGAGTTGTGTCCCCAATACTACAAGGAAATATAAAAGTAACATTTACAGAAAAGTAGATGTAACTAGAGATCATGGTAAGCAAAATAAACTGGTTTCAGGTGAACATATTCTTAAAAGAAAGGGGACTGACTAGGAGCACGAAGGTGTTTAATGGGAGGGAAGAGGATAAGGGAGGGAGAAATAATTTTTTAAATGTAGCATGTAATCAAGTTTTGATGATTGTTATAAAAACTTGTAGAGACTTAAATAAATTCTACTTGGCACAAATGCATAATCCAAAATCCCTAACACTGATCCAGGGTTTCCTATGCCCTGCCTCCTATTCCCTGTGCTTCTCTCAAAAAGCTAGTCTTTTGTGATAAATAATAATAGACTCTAGCTGGACATGGTGACACATCTGTAATCCAAGCACGTAGGAGGTAGAGGCCAGAGGATCACAAATGTGAGCCAAGTATGACTATCTAGGAATCTTAGTTTTAAACTTTGAGTAACAGGAATCATGCTGAGAGGTTTTTTTGTTTTTTGTTGTTTTTTTTATTTTCCCCTGAATACTTTTGGCTATAAAATGCTAATTATACCTCATTTCAGCCCTAATGCCTCCCTTAACCAGATTTTAATAGTAACTTCTTAGACCTTTGCATTGAATTTCTGCTATTTCTTCTCGTAGCTTGCTGCTTTGTACCAAGCAGGTGGTAATAAGTATGCATCGAATAAAATTTATGCCAAATAAACCTGTATCATAGATGGCCTGGAGGTAGTGGGGAAGGAAGGTGGTAAAGAGAGACATGACACATTCAAAACTCAGAAGTACATTATTCCAACAGTGGAGAATGGATTTGTACTTTCTGCCGAGACTTATCTAAACCAGAAGTTGAATATGATTGTGATGCTCCCAGTCACAACTCAGAAAAAAGGAAAACTGAAGGCCTTATTAAATTAACACCAATAGATAAAAGGGTAAGTCTTTGAGCATTTCCAAACAAGTGTTAAGACAATTTTGCTTACATGCATTCATTTTATCCTGATTTCTTTTTTCTTTAGGTCCTTCCTTCCAAAAGAATAAATAATGAAGGGCAGGCTGTCGTGTTTGTGTGTATGTGTGAATGGGTGTGCTTGCCTGTGCCTGTGCACATGGAGACCAGAGGTTGCCTTGACATAACTGCCTCTATTGCTCTCCACCTTTTTTTTGAGACATGTCTCTTATGAGCTTTGGCTAGACTGACTGGCCAGCAAGCACCTAGAATTAACTTGTTCTCCCCTCCCCCAAATTGAGGTTACAGATATACTCCATCATGTGTGGATGCTGGAGATTTAAACCCAGGTCCTTGTGCTTGCACAACAAAGTACTTTACCTACTGAGCCATCTTCCCAGCCCGGGTTATAGCTTTTTAATTTAAAAAAAACAAACAACAACAACATATATATATATATATATTTATGTGTGTGTGTGTATATATGGTCAACTCCAGGGATCCATGTTTCTCCATTTCCCTGGTGCTGGGATTACAAGTGTGCACCACTATATCCAGCCTTTTCACTATCTCAGAATTGAATTCAGGTCCTCATGCATCTGTGGGTATATGCATGTGAATTACATATAGGCAGTTCTGAGCCAACCAAGATGGGAGCTAGGAATTGAACTTGGATCCGCTTCAAGAGCAGTATAAAACATCTGAGCTATCTCTCTAACCCCTACTCCTGAACTGCCACCTCTCATCCCGAAGCTTTGTTTTTATTATTGAGTCAGTCTTACTCAGTAGCCTAAGCTGGCCTGAAATTCACAGTGTAGTCCAAACTGACCTCAGATGGCAGTCCTTCTACCTCCACCTCCCAAGAGTTGGGGTTATAGGAATAAGTCACCATGCCCAACTTGAACCTGGACTTTTAAATTTTGTTTAACTTAAGTAAATTTCCACTTTGTTTCATTTGTATCACTGATAGGTTTTTTTCCCTCAAAAATCTATTTAGAACTGGCAGCAAGATTAGCTTTTTTGTTTCTTCTTCCTAAAAATAACTCCATACTTTGACCTTGTGAAAGTTCATTTTTTAAAGCTAGCTAACATATTTAACTATAATTCTTTATGACTAAGGAATTTATCAGAATATATAAAATAGAAAACAGTATGAAAATTGACATGCAAGAAGCACAAGGGACTCAAGATGGCTTAGCAGTTAAGAGTACTGGCTACTCTGGCAGAGGACCTGGGCCCAGTTCATAGCACCTACATGGAAGCTTATAACAGTCTGAAACTACAGTTCCTGGGGATCCTCCAGTTCCCAGGAACTCCCTTTTCTGGCCTCCACAGGCATTGCTTGCATGTGGTACACTTACATACACGCATGCAAAACACCCATACAAGTAAAATATTAATTAATTGGAAATAATAATTAGGATAGAAATCAACCCCAAGATTCAATATTTTTTATTTATTCCTCACATTTTAGTGCTTATTCTGAGACCAGTGAAATTCTTGTCAAAAATAAGTTATGGCTTCATTATTGATTACTTTTATTTTTCCTTAGAAATGTGAACGCCTACTTCTATTTCTTTATTGCCATGAAATGAGCTTGGCTTTTCAAGACCCTGTTCCTCTGACTGTAAGTATGAATGTTACCATGTACATGTTTACATAGAGGGATAACTTTTTTACTTTCTATATCATTTTTCAATACTTACACCTAGTCCAAAAGTTTTGGTGTGGGAGGCCTGTGGGGGAGTTGTGAGCAGGTATGTGCATTCATTTGCCAGAGGTCAACCTTGAGTATTGTTCTTTAGATCTGTCCACCTTGTTTTTTGAGATAGGTTTCTCAGTGGGACCTAGAGCTCACCAAATAATTTAGACTATTTAAAGTATTACTGTACAGTAAGCCTCAGAGATCCACCCATCTCTATCTGCCCTATGCTGGGATTATAAGCATGTGCCATCATGCCTGGTTTTTGACATGGATGCTGGTGATTGAACTCATGTTCTCATACTTGCATAGTAAGCACTTTACTGACTACACTATCTCCTTAGACCCCTAATCCAAATCTTTTTTCTTTTTTTCCTGGTTTATTGAGATGGATCTCCCTGTAGCCCCAGCTGGCCTAGAACTTAATATATAGACTTGGCTAGCCTTGATCTCACAAAGATCTATGTGCCTCTTGAGTGCTGGGACTAAAGCTATGCAGCACCATGCCCAACCCTATTTTAAATCTTTTTTTTTTTTTTTATTTTCTGTATTTTTTTTATGTGTATGAGTGTATCTCCTGCATTGTAGGTAGGTACACCTGTGTTGTGCAGTGTCCACAGAGGTCAGAAGTGGGCATCAGAGCCCATGAAACTGGAGTTACAGTTGTTAGCCTCCATGTGGGTGCTGGGACTTGAATCTGGGTCCTCCAGCCAGTGCTCTCAACTGCTGAGCTACACTCCAGCCCCTTGAGTCTTAAAGCTTAATGTATGTACAATGCTTTGATCTTAAATGCATGGTGTTTTTTTCAATTTTTTAAAATTAGTTTTATTTGCTTGCTTTCATGTCACTATATATACATACATACATACGTGTATATGTTTTTGGTTTGGGGTTTTTTTTCTCTTTTTGAGACCATCTCCCTGTAGCCCCAGCTGGCCTGGAACTCACTATGTAGACAAAGCTGGCGAGATCCGCCTGCATCTGCCTCCCAAGTGCTGGGATAAAAGGCATGCGCCACCACGCCCAGGTAGCTTTGATACATGATTTTAAAGTACCAGAAAGGATCCCCTGTCTACAATATGTTCTTCTATGGATCTGAAATACCTTTTGAAATTCAATAAATCCGTTTTAGGAATTTTACATTTGGTTTTCTCTTCAAAGACAAGGTCTCATGCATCCCAGCTTGGCCTCAAACCCAAAGATGACCTTGAGCTCCTGTTCAACATAAAGCAGTCAGCTTGTGTTTGAAAATATTACAGTTAAAACTATTATTTTATACAGTGAATATATACTTTAAAAAATATCCCAGGCTAGCAGACCAGGCTAGCCTTGAACTTATAGGGACCCTCCTACAACACCATGCTCATTTCCAATATTTAAGTTTGGGGGGGGAAGGACTGTTTTCTTAAGAAACAATGGATTGAACCCAAGTCCTTGTACATGTAACCACTGAACTACATCCCCACCTCCCACCCCCAAGGAAATAAGTTCCAGGAAAAGATCTTTCATAAAAAGATAGAGGTTTGTAATACCAATACAGATGTATAAAATCTAACCCCAAATTGGTGCACTTTATGATCTTGGCCTACAGTCAAATTAATAGTAGCAGCAGCAGCACATAAAAGAATAATAAATTTGAAAAAAAATTTTGAAAAAGAGGCTGAGGCAGGAAGATCACAAGTTTAGGGTCAACCTGAGCTACAGAGAGCAACAACCCCACTCCCACCCCCAAATACTCTCCTTTGCTGAGTTATGAGGTATGAAAGTTTTTGGAGATGTCAGTAACAGCAGCCACAAGATAACCCCCTCTTTCTTGATATACGTCTCATATATATTACTTTGTCAGTCTATGACATTGCCAGGATTATACATTTGGAATATAAAGAAATTGAGTTGCAGTAGGTTAAATAATGTCTACAGGGTTATGCTGTTCAGCAACAGAGCTGAGGGATCAGACCCTTAATAATTTTTTATTTAATAATGAAGTGAGGACATATAAGGGATTTAAGAGAAAAAGCACAAAGGCATTTTCCATTAAAATTCATTGTTAGGCCTAGTGTGTTGTTGCATGTCTTTAACCCTCAAATTCTGGAGGCAAAGGCAGGTGAATCTCTGAATTTGAAGCCAGCCGGGTCTACATAGTAAATTCCAGACCAGCCAGGGCTGCATAGTGAGACCCTGTCCTGCCCTCCCCCACAAAAAAAATATTGATAAACTGGGTCATGTGGTATTTGTTTTTAGTTTTCTGAGCAACCTCCATATTGATTTTCATAGTGGTAGCTGGACCAGTTTTACATTCCTACCACCAGTGTACAAGAGTTCCCTTTTCCCTATATTCTCACCACCATTTTTATTTTTGTTTTTCCTTGATGATAGATTCTGACTGGGGTGAAAATAGAATCTTAATGCAATTTGAATGTACACTTTCCTGATGGCTAAGGATATTGAACATTTTTACTTACATTTATTTTACATTTGTAGTTAATTTCTGGTTTAAATACCCAGAGGACTCTCAACAATGTATGACAGAGATACTTGCACATTTATATTCATTGTAGCACTATTCACTTTCAGTGTTACAGAACATCATCTGATAAATGGATAAAGAAAATGTCATATATGCATATGGTGTTTTATACAGCATTAAGAATGAAATTATGTCGTTTTCTAGAAAATAGATACAAGTAGAGACAATCATATTAAATAAAATGTTAAATGAAGATAAGTATTGCATGTTTTCCCTCACTTCTGGGTCTCCTAGTATTCTTTATATGACATGAAGGTTGAAGGGTAGATATGGTCTAAGAACATGATGTACTTGAACTTGTCTATGTGAAACCCAGTATTATGTGTGGTGAATATATGCCAACTAAAAACATGTTTTTGGAGAAAGTGACACAAAACATTTACCAGTGTATGGAACACATTAGGAACTTGCGAATGTTACTGAATTGGTTTGTTTGGTTAGTTTGCTTCTTTTTTCACTGATGATAACATAAAAGTAGCATGTATTAGGGCCAGGTAGATTTACTTGTTTGTATTAAAATAACTCATTTGTTTTGTAAGGTGCCTGATTATTATAAAATAATTAAAAACCCAATGGACTTGTCAACCATCAAGAAAAGACTTCAAGAAGATTATTACATGTATACGAAGCCTGAAGATTTTGTAGCTGATTTTAGATTGATCTTTCAAAACTGTGCTGAATTCAATGAGGTGAGATGGGGAGAGGCAATATCAATGTGAAAAATAATCTTAAACCAGACACCTTATCAGGAATGAACAGCCCAAGATGTCTGCTAGAATACGTTCCCAGCTTTCAGGTCTGCCAGGGCATGAAAGGTAATTAGGAAGACTTTATCCACATTTATTTGTGAAATTTTATTATATGGTGAGTGCAAATACCAAAAGTAGCTGATACACAGATAATTTAGAACATGTCCTTCTGATCTTTATTATTTACCATTTTTCTTAAGCTGTAGCACTTCTACACTGTTGGTCTAGAAATAGTAAGGATGTATTCACAAAGTTCTCATTTAAAATTTTACCATGGCTCATATCATCTAAACTATTCACAGTATGGCTTTTATTGCTGGTTTTTTCTATTTGTTATTCCAGTATACCACCTCTTTTTCATGCTAGAAATACCTGGCTCCCATGATCCTTTTTCAAGTTATTTGATGTAATCTAGTCCTATCATTACCACCTTTTAGAGGGATTCAAGTAAATCGAGGTATTTTACTTTTTAGCTGACCTCTATGCTTTATCTAGCCCCAGTTGAGAATTTGTTTTATGTTAATGACCATGTATAAATGTTTTTAGACCATTAATTTTCATAATCTTGAGCCCAAAGTGAACAGATTCATAAGAGATTTTTATTGACTAGAAGTTGGTTTTTAATATTAATTCATATTTCGATTCTTGTCCCACAGCCTGATTCAGAAGTCGCCAATGCTGGCATAAAGCTTGAAAGCTATTTTGAAGAACTCCTAAAGAACCTTTATCCAGAAAAAAGGTTTCCTAAACTGGAATTCAGGAATGACTCAGAAGATAATAAATTCAGTGATGATTCAGATGATGACTTTGTTCAGCCCCGGAAGAAGCGCCTCAAAAGCATTGAGGAGCGCCAGCTGCTGAAATAAGCAGCGTCGAGCAGAAGCTTGTTCTTAGGATTTTTTTGTTTAAAAAAATAAAAAACATTGTCAGTAATTTAACATCATGACAAAGAAGGGTTTCTGGGCTCTTTGATCGTTTTTGCTGTTTACTGGACTTTGATTTCCTTAATAACCCATCTCTTTTAACCTCTTACCATTAATAAGAATAAAAAAGAGGAAGGAAGGAAATGTGAAAGAAGAGAAGGAAAGGAGGAAGAAAAGATAATAGGAAGAGAAGAGACAGCAAAGCAAACAAAATAAAAAGACATTCTTCCTGCTTCCTGGATTTCATACAGTTTGGAGTAAAAGCTACTGTAGAAAGAAAGAGACTTTGAACTAAGTTGAGATTTTAATGTCATTTGAGTGTGTGCGTTAATCCATATTTAGAATATTAATGCCACTTCCCATGATTATGACCCAACTGTAAGAGTTAGGTGTACTGCACTAAAAGAACGTGCGTGGTATCCCAGGATGCTTGCTGGGAAAGGTGGTAGATAAATGCGATTAGGATACCTAATAGTATTTCATGTAAGAGGGCAAATGGATTAAAGGAAAATCAGGAAAACAAATGTTTGATTATTGTTTTTGTTTTTATCTTTGTTAGAGATGTTGGATATAGCAGGTTTTTCAGGGCCATTTTTCATTTATTTCTAGATCTAGGTTTTCTTAAGCTTTGCTTGAAGGAACTAAGTGTGCCATTTTACATTTCCAGTATGTGGTCTGTTTGGGTTTTTTTTTTTTTTTTTTTGGTTTTTTGACTGTGCAGATGGTCTTTGTAGAGCAAGCTTCATTGCCTGCAGTGTGGCTTTTAGTAGAACTATCCAAAATGTAGAAGAGAGTAGGGTGCATCATATTTGGTATGAGATTTCTTCAGCATGTACCCTGGTGGCCACTAAATTTAAGTTCCCCTAACAGGAACTAATTTTGTGGCTTTCACCTGTCTTTATAATTTCAAATGAAAATACATTGTGGGGTTTGGGAGACAGCAGTTGGGGTGGGGATAGTGAAAAAAAATACTTTTTCCTGAAACATTTCTTTCCTGGTTTCTGTTTGCTTATTTTCTTTCAAGAGAACCTCACATTTCATGTTTGACCTGCCTTAATTCAGAATTTCATTTTCTTTCTGGTAGAGATACAAACGGTCTATCTTTTGAGACAGGCATAGTCTTAATGGGCGAGATCCAGCCAGGTTGACATCCATGTATTCCTCTTGCTTGTTTGGTGATTTTTTTTTTTTTTAATTTTTTAGGCTCAGATGAACAAAGCAACAAGAAAAGTAGGTTAAGATAGAATAAAGTTGTGCCATATACTAATCCAATATTTGACAAAATACTCAAGAATAATTTGCCATAGAACTTTTATTATTGAGGCATATTTGACTAGAAGAATTTTTTAGGGTGACAGTAAAAACACAGCTTTCAGCTGGATGTGGTGGCATATACCTGTAATGGCAGCACTTGGGAGGTAGAGTTAGGAAAATCAGGAGTTCAGGGTCATCCTACATAGTTTGAGACCAGCCTAGACTACTTGAGACCCTTTCTGAAAACAAACACCTAAAAACAGACTTGGTTTGTCCAAATCACAATACTACTTTATTACACATTATTACTAAGATAATTTGAGAGTATTGTATGAATGATTCATTGATAAAGTTATAAGGAAAAAATAACTTCTTAGCAATAGCTTCCCATTTTCCAAATGTATTATCTATAATATGTCAGTTATATATTGTGAAAACATCTTAATCACTTTTCTAAATATGTGTTGTATGGTGGTTTGTTGTTATTGATTTGAATATGCAGTTGACATTTGTTCTCCAAAGACTATTTGAACAAATTTTTTTAATACATATAAACCTTTGGGAAGGGAGAGTTTGAGACAGGGTTTCATGCTTAGTCCAGTCTAGCCTTGAACTCCTGGTCTTCTTCCCTCCACCTCCCAGGTGCTAGGATTAAAGGAGTGTGACTTTGGGGTTTTGTTGGTGTTTGGTGTTCAAGGTGGGTGGGTAAAACATTTGTCTTTAAATTGTTTAATTTGGTCCACTATTGTTAGTGCAACAACTGTGGAACTTTTGTTAATAGGTTCATTGTTGCTATCTTAGATACTGCTCTCTGAGAGGTATCACTAAGTACGGGGAAGGTAGGGCTTAAGAAAGATAAACATTCCTAAGTGTATTTGAGGCAGAATTTCTTTTACTCTATCCCAAACTGCCACTCTTGTATTCCATGCCACGTGAATCTTTTAAAATGACACTATTTCATGAATAACCATCTTTTGCTGATTGAAAGACAATTGAGAACCGTGTTTCCTGTAATTATGCATAATACATTATTAAAAGTAAATGTCTTGGGTTTCTCCAAGTAACACTTTTGTCATGGTCTCATGACATAATCATTAACAAGTACCACTGTGTTCAGTGGATCCTAGCTAAATGGTCCTTAAATTCGAAGAGGCTTAAAGATTTGCCTAACCCCTCCACACTGATTTTGAGAGCACACATTCTAAATATGTATTATGTGGTAATATTTGTTGTATTGATTTGAATATACAGTTGATATTTGTTCTCCAAAGTCTATTTGAGCAAATTTTTATAATACATACAAACCTTTGGGAAGAGTGAGGTTGAGACAGTTTCATGTTCAGTCCAGCCTGGCCTTGAGCTCCTGGTCCTCTCTACCCCCCAGGTGCTGGCATTAAAGGAGTATGACTTAGGGGTTTTGTTGTTTGGGTGTTTAGGGGAGGATGAATAATACATTTAACACCACCACCCCCATTTTTTTTTCAGTTCGGTGTGATTTAGCAGCCTTGACCTAAGTTTGCTGCCGTAAACATACTGAGAGTCCTGCATCAAAGCTCCAGGGTGTGTGATAACATGTGTAGTAAACACCCCCACCCCCACTGAATATACCTTTGGCAGAGGGTCATAGATTAGCAGACCACGCTAAGGCTAGCATTAACTAACTCCAAGCTTTACCATAAGCTAAGCACTGGATCTTTCTGGCAGTTAGGAAACCCATAAACAGTGACTTAGGAGGTTAAGGCAGAATTTTAAATGTGTTAAAGTCCATTACTGTCAGTGGCACTTAAATTTTTACTTTATTCACGGAGAATCTCCTTTTGCTGAGGACTGATCCAATTTAATGTGAGTTGCTGCATGTGAACAAAAGGTTTGTGAGTTTAAATTGAAAATGTCAAGAAGAAAGTACTCATTTTCTGTTTATGTTCCATATGACTGAGGGAAATAGATCTGATTTAGCCATTAAAATTTTGGACATGACTCTGAATTCAGTCATCTTATCAGGCTCATCCTTTTAAATAACCACTTTTTTTTTTTTTTTTTGAGACAGGGTCTCCCTATACACATCCCCAATCCCCGGCCTGGAGCTAACTATGGTAGACCAGGCTGGCCTCAATCTCATATCTGCCTGCCTTTGAGTGCTGCGATTGAAGGTACACATCACTGAGCCTGGCTCATGTCTTATCTGTAAATCATTTTATGGCACCATATAAACTAATAGTTGATGACTTTATTTCATCTTGGATGGAAATTGCTAAATCATAATTCACATGCAGATACCTAATGTTCCTGCACCAGTCAGATCATAGGCTTCTCTGTGGTGGTTTTACAAATTATGAAGGACATTAGAGGCAATAGTATTGGATTTTGTGTTTTGTTTCTTCAGGAACTGGTGCTCTAAATTATTTAAAAGATTAAATGAATTTGATGAATTTGTAATGGAAGACTTAATGAACAAATACCTTCTAGTAGCACCTTGTCTAGTTTGAACCCTTTCATTTCAGCTCCTGTGCATTCTTCCAGCTGTAGCACTGTTTCATGTAGGGATGTGGTATGGTCGTAAATAGCAGAACTTAAAATTTCTAACACGTATTTCTTCCACCTTAAAAAATTGACAGGAAAAAAGGACAAGAAAAACTGACAGGAAAGAAGAAAAATATTTTCCCCCTTAGATTTTTAACAGTGACATTGGTTATCTAATCTGCTCTTTAGGGCTTGCACGCCTTTAGTCCAGCAGAGGCAGGCGGATCTCTGTGAGTTCAAGGCCAGCCTGTTCTACATAGTGACTTCCAGGCCAGCTGTGGCTACAGGAAGACCCTGTCTCAAAAAAGGCAAAAAAAAACAACTAGAAAGTCCAAAAGAAAGGGCCTGGGATTCATATTACAAAAAGGAGTTTTGCCATGAAAAATTCTGCAGATGGCCCAGAGTGAGGAGATTCACAAGTACTTTAAAAGTTCACCTATGTTAGGGTTGGGCACACTCCTTTAATCCAAGCACTCATGAGGCAGAGGCAGGCAGATCTCTCAGATTGAGGCCAGCTTGGTTTACTTAGCAAGTTCCAGGCAAGCCAGGGCTACATAGTGAGACCCTGTCTCAAACCCAAAAAAGGTTATTTATGTTAATTTCACATACAGTTTGGAAACTTTTGATACTCAGAAACAACTTTTTAAAAGTCAGTTTTAAATATTTAATAGTGGAGGTAATTATTTGATTATAAATTTAGTTTTTAAAATAAGAATGATTAAGACCTAATTTGAGTCCTAGAAATTCCTTTCTTGGTAGTGTATTACATTTAACAAAATTCCAACAGCCCTGGTTGCTCACACCTTTAGTCCCAGCACTGGGGAAGCAGAGGCAGGCGGATCTCTGAGATTGAGGCCAGCCTGGTCTACATAGTGCTAGGCCAGCTGGGGCTACGGGGAGACCCTGTCTCAAAAAGAAAACAAAAAATTCCATCTCTGATGAGGTATGGAAGGAAGGTTGTTTTAATGTCCTCCACCATTTAGCAGAAATATGGGAATATGATTCAAGATAAGCGATCCAGAAAATGTAGTCTGTATTGTAACAGTGATAGTGGTTATATGATCTGGTCTCTTTAAGGATGTTTAAGAAAGTGCAACCTAAAAAGGTGAAAGTATTTGCCTTTGTAGACAAATTACATATACAAAATTATTTGATTGTGACAGTATTTCTACTATACTATTTATTACTCTTCATTACCTGAGTCTTTTAGGGATCAGTGGAACCAAAAAAAGTTCTTACAGGCAAGTGACCTGGAATTTGTGCTAATGACTAAAAAGGTAAGAGTGCTAAGCAACCTTCATGAGTTATCAAGGATTTGTCCAACTAGTTTTCTGTGAAATTATGTCATATTTTGCCATACACATAATCCCGTGTTCTCTTTGAGGGCCCACTATGAAGTTCTTAAGGCTGGAGAACCCACAGGTGCTGAGAGTTTGAAATCTTTGAGAGAGTACTGGAGCATCAGATTTGTCATTGGTTGGTTTTCAGATACTGCTAATCTTTGATTTAAATAAGTTTCTGTGAACTTCGGTTTGGGGGTTTTCAGTTACTATTTGTGGTAGGTTGTGTGGGCAGCCGACATCTTTCCATCAAGTATGTTTTGGCCTAAGATAATAACTAGACTTTAAGGTGGTTGGTGCCTGCTGGCCAAATCACATGAACTGCCTTTGTACAGCCTGAATCTAGAAATGTTTAAAGCTCATGAGTAGTTCCCAAGTTCTGGGATACAGTTGGCCTTTCATGTGTTCCATGTCCAGGAGTCAACCAGTAACAGGTGAAAATGTTTGAAAAATAATGCATTCTACCTAAAAATTACAGACTTTGTTATTTCATACATAGCACTGGTATCATATTAGGTTATGGGAGCTGACATGTAAGGGAGGGTGTATAAATACTGTGCCTTTTTAATGTAAGGCTTGAGTATCTGCGGGTTTGGATATCCACAAGGAGTCCTGGCCCCAATCCTCCAAGCATATTAGGGATAAGTGTCTGGGCCTTTACAGGCAACTAGGATTTTAAGCCATTATTCATGGTATGCATCAAGTAGGGACTATTTGTTCCCTCTTTAAGTGAGGTATAAGCCTCTTGTACACAGTTTACTAATACAGCCTTTCATTATGGCTGCAGCTGAATATTTTTTCCAGTGTTAAAGAGAGTGAACCAGCCATGTGGTCTACAACAGTAGACCTCTATAACGAGCCTGAACAGCAATAAAAGATAAAAATGTAAAGGCTTTAGGTGTTTTCTTTCCACACAGCATGCCTCTCCTAATAGGGAAAGCTGCATACACCATGAGATTTCCTCCCAAGATTAAAAAAAAAAGAAGAAGAATTAGAAGTAGCATATGGAGAAAATTCACTTTATTCCCAGCTTCTCCATAGTTCTTTATGTAGGGCTATATGTAAGACATAAAAGTTTAGGAATACGTTGTAAGTCATGTTTTATTAAACTGCAGAGGCCATAATTTAAGTACGCCAATTTTAATCTGATCTTGACTATTCTCATGATCAAGAAAGTCAGTGATGTCAGCCTAGTTCTTGCCTTAGCTACAGATACCAAGAAGAGAAGCCATGTTCCACCTTTTATTCCCAGTCCAATCTCAAGGTTTTTTGGCTGGGTGGTTTGGTAGTAAGTAGTAGGTTGGATTTTTGGTTTTTGTCTTTTTGAGACAGGGTCTCCCTGTAGCCCCAGCTGGCCTGGAACTCACTGTGTAGATCAGGCTGGCCTTGAACTCACAGAGATCCACCTGCCTCTGCCTCCCAAGTGCTGGGATTAAAGGCGTGTGCCACCACGCCCGGCTGTAAATTGGATTTTTGAGACAGGATTTTGTGTAGCCCAGACTGTCCTCAAACTTGCTATGTAGTTGGATAAAACCTTGAACTGATCCTTCTGCATCTAACTCCCATGTGCTGAGATTATAGGCATATACTACTATGCCTGGTTAAATGTGTTCTATAAAAGATTTACACACCCAAGGAAAAGATCCCAACTGCATTGCCATGTATGCCTTGGCTGTTTTAATCGATGATGTTTTGTAATCACCACATACAGAAATAAAAACAAGTTTTTTAAAATGTGCAAGAGCTCAGTGAAGAAAGGTGTTTTTCTCCTTTGGTAGCCAAAGTGTTGCAGGTCTTCATTTAGTTTGCTAAAAAAAATTATTTAGTAGGTTAGTAACACATTATTTAGTAGGTTAGTAACACATTTTTTTTTAAGTCTTCTGTTATACTCAGGTGCTTGGCACTAGAAATTAGTGATAGTTTAGTACAATATACAAGGAATTATATCACTTACCTTTGTTTATGGAATTGAAATGCTAGTTTTACTGTTTCTTAGTACAGTAGAGACGTCATTTAGAAAAGTTCACATTATAAATACATTTAGTGACTTTAGAGTGTTTTTGATTTATTGGCCTTATCAAAATGACTCAGCACTGCCTTTGAGCTACTGAACAAGTTGGTTTATCCAGTCAAATTACTGCTTTGCTGTCAGCATGTTTTTGAAATATGTGTGATGTATATGTACATGACAAATGATCACAAATGATCTCGGTGCTGAGGTATGTGTGTGCATATGTGCAGGTATAGATATATATTGAACCTACATATTACAATTCTAAGAACAATATTCCAAAAGCTGTAAAAATCATTTCAGAATAGTGCTTATACTCCTAGTCCACAGGAAAGGGACTAGCCCTTCATAGATGGATACGATTGAAAATCTATAGGGTACATTAAATGGTCAGTTAGGTTTCTTTATTGTTATTTATAAAACTACTTTTAAAATTGCGAGCTAGGCAAGGAAGCTTATACCTAATAATTCCACTACTTGGAAGGCTGAGGGTCACCCTAAGTTCAAGGCCAGCCTGTGCTGTTTAGTAAGTTTGAGGTCAACATGGGCTACATAAACAGCAAGACCCTGTTTCAAGGTAGAAAAAATTGGAAAGGAATGGAAATTTATAAGACTTAGCTTTTTAAATACTATCCTTTCCACAAGTTGTTCAACTTGCACCCTAGTTTACTCATTTGTGTAATTGACTTGATAATCCTTTTAAGATTAAAAGGAAGCACTGAGTCATCTAATGTAGTGTCTGGCTTTTAGCATTCAGTGATGGTCACCTTTCCAGGGATGGAACAAAGCCTTAAAACTTAATTTATGGGTGGCCAAATCTGTGATTAAAATATATATTACCTTAAACAAGATAGGAGGAAACATCAGAGACTGGAAATACAACTATTTGAGAAAAAAAAAGTTTCTTTCTAGTATCTAGTCACAGACAAAATACTTTGTAGCAAGAATATTAATTTGTCATGTACCATGAGTAATGGAGGGAATGTTAAAAAGGGCAGTGACTCTACAGCCTCATTTAGAGGCAACAGCTCAAACAGCCCCAGTTATTTTCCTCCTGCCCATACATGCACACATGCTCTGCTCAAAGCAGGAAAACCATATGCTCCCCTACCCTGTACTGAGGTAACCATTCTTCACTAAACAGAGCCATAAGCTGCAGAAGACTTGGGAGGGCCTCCTTACAACTTTCCTATATCCACGTGTTTTTAAAATAAGTACATGCTACCACGCCTAAGATTCTACCCCACCCCCTTCCCTTTTTTTTAAATGTGAATAGTCAGTGTCTGCTGACTTTGTAGATGGCTACTAGGGCCACACTGAAGTTTTGTTTTTCCATGTATTCCACAGTCAAATGATAAAGCCATAACATTTTTAAAAGATAAAGGAAAATTTGTTGCACATCTGTAATTAACACAAACATTAGGCCGAAGTGCTACATTAAACAGATGTGGTCTGTACCCATGGTAAAATAAATACTTGATAGTTACACAAGATTTCACTAACGGCCTGGGATGAGACATCTATCCTTTGAAACAAACTGCATGAAGGCACACTGCAGATTACCATTTTGTTGCAAGGTAGAAAAGTCTCCAAGGTGACTCACTCCAGACCCTCCTTTCTCAGTTACAACCAAATCCAGAAAGGCCTCTGCTCCGTGTTGGGAACCTCAGTCCTGAGTCCCCAGTTACCTCAGCACAGATGGATGTCAGTGAACCTGTGCTCTGCATTCATTCAGAGCCTCCAAGGAAACCAGGAGCCCAACAAGCACAGGGCTCAATGTCCTTTCAATAGTTTTAACTGTCCAATGAGCTCTGACAGCCAACAGGCCATATGTATTTCATAGGCTAAAATATTGTCTTGTCTTCATGTCTTTTTTAAGGTTAAGCAGACCAATTGTGGAAGGGAAAGAATGAAAATTCAAAGGGCTTATGCTCCAAAGCAACCCGGTCCTCTGCAGAAGAACTTATATGTTGGAGCTGTAAAGCCATGTGGGGGTGATCAGGCGGTGGTCTGGTAAGAAATTTGCTAAGGCAGTCCTCATTTTAGGTGACTAGGCACACCATATTTGTGCAAAAAGCTTTTTAAAAAGATTTTTAAGATGTGTATATGTTCATGAAAATGCAGGTGCCTGCAGAGTTCCAAAGAGGGTTCCCTGGAGATACATAGGTGGTTGTGAGCTGCCTGATAAGGGTGCTGGGAACCAAACTCAGATCTTCTGGAAGAGCAGTACATGCTCTTAACTGCTGAACCATCTCTTCATTCCCCTTGTGGAAAAAACTTAATGCAGCTCAGAAACTGTTCTTCCCAACATAATCCGATGCAGCGGAATTGGAGGGCACTGCTTGTGAAAAATAAACTGAGTATAATTTATCTATGGAAACCACAGTCTGTAGGTGCCCAAAACTTATGCTCCAGCCATCTTCTAGATGAAGCCACTAGTACATGATGCCTAGGGTCAGGCTTCCTATAGCCCCTACCTGCACAGCCACCCCAGGGACACTCTTACCACCACAGATACCAAAGGGAAGGAAGCTAGTCCACCCTGTCCAGACTATGTGAGCTCAAAGGCAGTATCAATAACTATTTTGGCTTCTCTGGTCTGCAGCAGTGGTTCAAATTAGAAAGTAAGGAGGATAAAATGTTGATGCCTCAGCAGTTCGTTTGATTTGGTCCTGTTACTCAAACTACAACTTTTACAGGAAAAGATAATGAAGTGAATTTTTAGTTAACTTCACCTCTATTGCTGCTTAGAATGTGAGGAAGACTGGAGACCCAGTATTTTCTATTAGACAATGAAATATCATTGTTTAGTGGGTTCTAGTTAAATGAAGGATGCCCATATCCCAAGCTCATTCTTTTATCAAAAATGGTAGTTGAAGTTGGAGAGATGGTTATTGCCTAAGAGCATATGCTGCTTTTATGGGGGTTTGGGTTTTGAGACCGTGAGTTCTAGGCAAGGTGGGGGTACAGGGTAACACTGTGTAGACCAGGCTGGCCTGAATCGTACAGCAATCTGCTTGTCTTTTCCAGTGCTGGTATTAAAGGTGTGTGCCACTGCGCCTGGCCACTTGGCTGCTTTTGAAGAGGACCAGAGTTTGGTTCCTAGCACCTGTGAGCAGCTTGACATAACCACTTGTAACCCCATGGATCCAACACCTCTGTCCTCTGTGGGCACCTGCTCTCATGTATGCATAAAATACAGAGTTAAAGATAATAAAATGCATGCACTCAGGAGGCAAGTGGATCTCTAAGATTAAGGCCACCCTGGACTATATAGCAAGTTCCAGACCAGCTGGGGCTACAGGGAGAGGATGGCTTAGCAGTCAAGAGCACAGGCTGTTCTTGCAGAGGACCCAGGTTCAATTCCCAGCACCAATAGGGAGGCTAACAACTGTTCATAACTCCAGTTCCAGGGGGAATCCAATGCCCTCTTCTGACCTCCACAGGCTTTACATGACATGGGTACACTTACACACATGCAGGCAATATATTCATACACATAAAACTTTTGAAAAAAAATCTTTAACAGTACTTCAGAAGATCTAAGAGCTTGTACAACTTACCTGTAGGGCCCGTCCTTTGGTTTCAATGGGGAGAGTAAATGCAGAAATGGCACACACAACACAGACAGATGAGAAAAGACACAAGGCTCCCAGGAATGAGGCACTCATGAGGACCTGCAAGTCACAGCAGAGTGACTAGATTCAGTGCCCCAGTCACCTCACTGATCTTTTTCAAAGGTAGACTAAGGATTGGCTCCACCAAATACATAACTGGTCGTTTGCCACCAGTTTTGTAAATTGTACACTCCTGACACTGGTTTAAGTGGGCCAAGCTCATACAGGCATTCAGTGACTGGCATCAATATGCACTGGACATCTTAGCCTTCTTTGCACCTGTCAGGCATCTCAGAGCAAATTTCAGTGGGAGATGGGAGAGCTGCCTATTCTCCCAGTCCCTCATACCAACCCAGCTCACTTAACTCCACCTCCTTCCTGCTCTACTCTCCACCAGATGTAAACTTCCCTGACAGGACAGAACAGCAGAATGTATATTTTTTTAAGAAGAGATATAAGATATAATTGCAGGGTTTCTGAAAAGACTATTAATGTCTCTTCACAGTGCCTGTGTGACTGTCAGGACTTTCTATTTGATATCATTTTTCCATGGTCAGAATGGATTTCTGTCTATCTGTATACACCTTTTGGCTGGATCTTGGCACTTTGTTACTGGCTCCATTTATCACTTTCTCCAGAACAGTGCCCAACGTTGGCAGACAGTCAAGCACTTGATAGTTCTTAGCTAGTCTTAACAGGGATAGTAACAGCAGTACAACAGGCACACCAAGCCTCTGGAGTCAGATCATTCACAATTCGGAAATTATCTCATCTAGTCCAACCCTCTCATTTTACAGACGAGCCTGCACCAACTATTGCCCCCAAAACCACAGACTTCTGGAAATCAGCCTAGCGTTGCTACAACTACTTAACATTCCCTTAAGATACCCAACTTGAAGAGAGGCATGGTGGCACATGCCTTTAATCCCAGCACTTTCGAGGCACAGGCAGGCAGATCTCTGTGACTTCAAGGCCAGCTAGGGCTGCAGGGAGACCCTGTCTCAAAAAAATAAAACCAAGATAACCAACTTGGGAACCCAACTCCAATATATAGTCCACTGCCTTCCAAAATGGTAAACAAAACTCAAGGTAGTAACCTAATATTTGGAGGAGTTGACCTAGGAAATTATAGATACTAGTCTGATTTTTAGGGTTTCTTTTTCTTGTTTGGTTGGATGATCAATTGTTTTTGGAGCTTTTTGTTTTGTTAGGGGTTTTTGTTTTTAAGACAAGTGTCATTAGCTCAGGTTGGCCATGAACTCCTGATGCCTCTCTCTCAACCTCCCAAAGCTAGGATTAATGGCGTGAGCCACTACAACTGGTTCTTTATTCCTTTGATTTTCATCTCCTAAAATTTTCTCCAAAAAGGAGACTGTGAAAACAGGCTTGGAAAAGGAACAGACTCCAGAAGAGACCAGGCAGCATCAACCATGATGAGACTACAGCACAACAGCATGTGTGTTCAGAATGTTTTGCTGCTACTTTGGTTACTACAAAAGGAAATTCTTATCACCACCAGAATGGATCTAAACTCTCCCTACTTAGATTCTTTGTACATATTTCAGGGTCCTGTCGGGGGTAAGACCCTACTGGATTGAGTTCATAACTGTTCTACTAGCGAGGGAAGGAAGACAGCTGTCTAATGTTTTTCCTTCCCTGGAGATGCAGGGCTCTGCTTCACAACAACCCAATGTATAGCATTCTTCTTTCTAATAGCACATAAGCTAACCACAGTCATTTTCTATTGTTTGTAAAAGTCATCTGGGGGGCCAGGGTTGTAGCTCAGTGGTAAGCCCATGCTTAGCATATATGAGCCCTAGGTTGAATCTTCAGCATCATAATTTAAAAAAAATCATACAGGAGTTGGAATAAACATCCTTCCAGGACTCATTTCAGATTCCCTATATCAAAAGGAAAAAGTTCTTTGCTTCTACAAAGTAGCTGAAGGAACTGGGAATGTGGCTGGGTTAAATATCCAGCACCACAAAACCCTAAAAACAAAGCAGGGCTGGAGATAAAGCTCAGCTTATTTAACTTGGCCTTTGAACTAGTCTTACACTTTCAGAACATGAATGGGTGATGGAAGGGCATTTAAATTTGACACAAATGCCATAGATGAACATAACTGGTACACTGACTACACGAACATTTAAAACTTTGTAAGCCAAGAAATTGATAGTAAAATCAAAAGCCAAACAATGTAAAAATATCTGTATTGCAATGTACAATGTGGACTACAACAACAAGATCAATGACTTTCCAGGAAGAAGGCCCTGACCAGGACCTGCCCATCGTGACATACTGGTCTTAGACTTCTAGCTCCAGAGCGTTAAGAAATAATACTGTTTGTGTAGTTTGTGGTATTTTATTACAGCAGCAGAGCCTCAGCAGTACAGTAATGGAAACCTTGTTGAGAATGTTGGTGTTAGTGAGGAAGGGAGAAAGCATTCAAGGCACAAGTCATCAAGGAAAGTTAGTTGGAGGATGAGAAGTCACAGAAGAGAACCACTCAGGATGCCATTTTAGCAGGACAGTGAAAAGTGATGGTGGTTCGAACCAGCTGCTGCTTTTAGATAAGGTGATAACATAAGAGATTCCAGGTGTGATAGGAGGGCAAAGCCTGGGATGGAGTCCTGAGCAGGGATAAAGTAGGGATGGCTGCAGGAAATGGCTGAAGGAAGAGTGGAGGAAGGAGGAAACCCTTTCAGGAATTGAGCTGGAGAGAGTCCATAGGGTTGAATTTAATCTGTCCATTGTGGAATCTGAAGCACATTAAAATGCTGACTAGAAGCATTCAGCATGGAGGGTAGAGGGCAATCACAGAAGGGATGTGGTTACAAACCTGAAACCCAGGAGATGCAATGAGAAACTTCAGAATGAGTTCAGTGAGCTGGCTGCCAGGGGTTGGGAAGATGGCTCAGTGGGTAAAGCACTTCAGATCCCCAGCACCTATGTTAATGCCTGGCAAGCAATCTGACTGGCAGATTCAGTGAAAGACCCTGCTTCAAAGAATAAAGTGGAGCATGATGGAGGAAGGTACTTGATGTCAACCTCTGGTCTCTGTGCAGATATGAACACAGGTGGGCACATGCCTCTAATCCCAGCACTCTGGAGGCAGAGGCAAGCAACTCTGAGTTTGAGGCCAGCCTGGTCTACATAGCAAGTTCCAGGCTAGCCAGCACTACATACTGAGACCCTGTCACAAAAATCAAAAAATTCTTTTGGGGAGGCTAGCTGTTCTCACAAAGGACCATGGTTGGGTTCCCAGCACACACATGGCAGGTAACTATCTGTAATTCCAGTTGCAGGGACTCGATAACACCCTCTTTTCCTTCATGGGCATTGCACAACACAGGTGTACATTCATACATGCAGGGAAAAAACACATACATGAAATAAGTAATTTTTAAAAAGTTATACTAAGAGATCTTAGCAGACACCTGAGAGTGCCTGGTTCCAGCCTCTTCCTGCTGTGAGTTTCCCCAAATCTCACTGTGCCCAGCCCCCTGAGTTAGGACCATGTGAGGCCCCTCCCATTTCACCAGGGCTAGACTTCTCTGCCCTAGAGTAGGGGCTAAGAGTACCTAAATCAGGCCTCCCCTTAGCAAACTTCCCAAATTGTGTTGAGTGCCCACTACTAGGGGTCCAGACAGGACCAGAAGGAAGCCTGAGCATACCTGACTAGAAGCTGCCTTGGGTTTCTGTGGGAGCTCCTGAGTAGCTGATCTGAAGCCATCAGTTCCCTCCAATATAAAATCTGATAGAACCTGAAACCTAGATCAACCAGCTTTCATACCCAATAAGAAAACAACCAAGGCACACGAATAATTCAAATAGAAGCAGACTTCAACTCAACAAAGGCTTGAGTTTCATACCAGAATCACAAAAGAAATCCACATGCCAAAATCACAATAGAAAAATATGAAAAACCAAAACAGTATGTTCCCACCAAGCTACCGAGTTCTACAAGGAGAACCCCCTAGAGATAACCCAGGATACAGAATTTAAAAGTACAATCAAAAACGTGATCAAAGAATTCAGTGAATTTAAAGCACACAAAGAACTAAAAGAAGATAGGAAAACACTTCTGACTTAATTCACAAAAGAGAAATATTGAAGATAACTCGGAAATGAAGAAGGAAGTGAAAAAATAAGTCTAAACAGGAAAGAGCCTCACCAATAGAATGAATGAAATGGAAAACAGAATATCAACACTGGAGGATAAAGTTGAAGAATTGGACCGTTCAAGCAAAGATTGAAAATTTTTTAAAAACACGGGAATGGAATATGCCAACTCAGAATACCCAACAGAAATGTCTATTATAGTTGAAGGGGAAAGAAAAGTCTTCCATGACGTGAATAGGCTGAAAGAATACATGCCCATAAAACCAGCCCTTCAAAAATTGCTTGAAGCAATACAAAGAATGGAGAAAGGAACAACTATACCCCAGGAGCAACAGAAAAAAACTAAATGAAGGTATAACTGTGGAAACAATTAGTCATCAAAATGATGGCAACCAATACCCATCTTTCAATAACTTAAAAATCAATGGACTGAACTCCCCAGTCAAAAGACACAGGCTAGTTGAATGGATTAAGAAAGAAAATCCATGCCAGGCATGGTTGTGCATGCCTGTAGTCCCAGCCCTCGGGAGGCAGAGGCAGGCGGATCTCTGTGAGTTCAAGGCCAGCCTGGTCTACGTAGTGAATTCCAGGACAGCTGGGGCTACAGGGAGACCCTGTCTGAAAAAGACGAAAAAAAAAAAAAATCCATCCTTTTGTTGTCTACAAGAAACTCAACTCACCTTCAAGGATAGGCACTACCTTAAGGCAAAAGGATGGAAAAGAATATTCCAAGCAAATGGCATTAAGAAACAAGCAGGGGTTGCAAGTCTATTCTGACAAAACAGACTTCAAACTAAAAGTAATCAATAGAGATAAAGGGGGTCACGTCATTCTGTTCAAAAGAACAATTAACCAAGAAGATATTACAGTCATGAACATATATGCACCAAACTCTGGTGCACCCAAATTCATAAAAACTACAGGACGTTAAGACA